CTTATTTAGACTGTACTTTAAGTATATTATTATACCTTCACTTCCATCTAACCCTAGTATGGGAAGTACCCATTTCACAAATTTACTGGCTAGATGGTTCGCTTGTTTTAGGCATAGAATTCCTATTATTTTTAAATGCATATATTTTCTATATTGCTGATGACTATGTACAGTGTCAATCAGAATTATCATACCCAGGGAAACACAATAAAGCAGACTTAGATGATAGATAAGTTCATCTTGCTAGCCAAGGGTTTCTGATATGCTACACTCTTCATAAGCCCTTGGCATACGGTGTTAAAAAAAGTTGGGATTTTTTTCTCAAGTTGTGATTGGAGTTGATCGACATCGTTCGACCAGTCAGCAATTGTTTTTTATAAATGACGATATTTGCGTTCGGGATATACCTTGACTCTTTAATATCGGGAATGAAAAACGCAAGTAAACAACGATCCGTAAGATAACATGCCATTTTATGAATAGCTATATGGTGTCATCCAATATCTTAAGCTACGTGCAAAATATGTGATTAAGAATCTATACTGAAGATGTAGATTTGCATTTTAACATGTTTAAATAACAAATTAACATAACTCAATACCTTCTTGTTAATTAATCTTAGAAAAATTATTTTTTAAAATACACTTTTTATTTCTGTCGATGACGCAATCTGTGCATACCTGGTAAGAATCGTGATCACGTGACAAAAACAATCCTGTCTTTTGTCAGCACCGTATGTCAAGGGTTTATGAGGAGAGTAGCGTATCAGAAACCCTTGGCTAGCGAAGATGAGATAAGTTATGCTACAGGGTTCTTTATTTATGATGCCATAAAAAATTAGTTTATTGAAGTATTTAAGATTTTCCAGATTTTAACTCTGGACTTAATCTGCTTTCTAACTATATAAGTAAATTTATTTATATATAGCCCCATTGCTGTATTAGCAAATCCGTCGTTACCCTTTTATGCTGCACAGCAATGCAGTTACTTATATAAGTAAATCTGAATGTACATGCTATTAAAATCTGAAGTATTTCTCAATGCTTTCATTAAAGAATAAATTTGTGAGTACTGTAAAAAATGTCATTGGAATCATTTGAATATAGATGGAGTTGGCTTGCTTGTAGTGCCACATTTGTTATTGACTTATTTTGTATTCTATTAGTATTATGGTCCATTTTTAGCTCACCTAAGCCAAAGGCTCAAGTGAGCTTTTCTGATCAAAATAAGTTCATTGTCTGTCCTTGGTGTTGGCAATGTGGCTGTTGTCATTGTTGACTTGAACTTTTCACATTTTCATCTTCTGGGAATCTCCAGAACCACTGGGCCAATTTCAACCAAACTTAATTGGCACAGAGTATCCTTGGGTGAAGGGGATTGAAATTTGTTCAAACGAAGGGTCACACCCTCTTCCAAGGGGAGATAATTGCAAAATAATGAAAAATAGATGGGATCATTGAAATATCTTCTTCTCAAGAACTACTGGGTCAGAAAAGATGAAGCTTACTTTAAAGCTTCCTTAAATAGTGTAGATTCCAGTTTGTTCAAATCGTGACCCTAGGAGAAGGGTGGAGCTACTATAGGCAATCAAAGTTTTACATTGGAAAATATAGGAAAATTCTTTAAGAAATATTCTTCTCAAGAACAGGAAAACCATGATCAGTCATATTTATATTGATTTTTCCACAAGTAGTGTATATTCAATTTTTTTTTCAAATCATGACCCCCCATGGCCCATGGGTAGGGTGGGGTCACAATGGAGGATCACCGTTTTGCATAAGAATACATGGGAACATTCTTTAAAAATCTTCTCAAGAACAGGAAAGCCATGATTAGTCATATTTATATGAAAGCACCCTCAGGTAGTGTAGATTCAAGTTTGTTCAAGTCATGAACCTTAGGGGTAGGTTGGGGCTACAATGGGTGATCAAAGTCTTACATAGGAATATATAGAAAAAAGACTGCTGATGAAAATCAAGAAAGGCCATTGTTATTCAGGTGAGCATTGTGTCCTGTGGGTCTCTCATTTTAACATCCCAATGCCCCGTTATGTTGCCCTTAGTTCCCTCTCTACTGTCGGTCGGTCTGTATACCTTTCACAGCTCTCACCATGAATGCTCAGTCATTTTTCAATCTGCAACAAGTTTAACAGACTCGAATCAGGTTTTGACATGACTGATTACAATATACAGCACATACATGTGTATTTCCTGAATTTCTACATATATAATGACAGCGGTATTAGGATTACACTTGAGAACATCATAGTATCATTCATGTTGCAATAGGAGGTACTCTACTAGTGAGTGTTGAGAAGGTGAACATGGTCGTTATATTCCATTGATGTGAAGTTTATGATGCTAGAGTAATCTTCCTTTTCTGAGCTGTCTCTTCCTTATCCACTATCTTCCTGACACATTTTCAAACCACTCCAGTGTCCCAGATTCATTCAGCCTTGTGTTCTGTCATGTCTGTGTGGATGTTAACTGTATCTGTCATAGATAGTAAGTTTGCCTACCTGTACCAATGTGTATATTGTGTACTATTATCATTTTAAAGATTCTCTTGAGAAAACTTTTCTTGTGATATGTAAATTGCAGATACACAGTGTAGAATTTTTAATTTTTATAAAATGTAGTAAAAGAGTCTGTATGCATATTTTACAATATTTTAAATTGTTTGTCAAAATAACTCATTTCAAACTGTGTTTTTAGAGTTTAATATTATACATGTATGACATCAAATGAAAGCTAGCGTACCTTTTTTATTTGATGTGTAATTTCTAAAGTAAAATAATGTTAATTTGATTCTTTTTAACAGTTCCAGTTTCAAGTAAATTATGACATTCAGAGAGTTGTCATTTTTGTACCTTAAGCCACATGCATGGATCTAGAGAAGGGTCAGTCCCCGTCCCCCCCCCCCCCTCCCCCCCCCCCCCAAGCATTTTCAGAGATATTAAATTTATAAGTTGGTATTAAGGAGAATGGTATACATAAAGTGAAGGAAGTTGCTTAACAACCAATACCCCAATAGGTTTTTCAGGTTTGGAGAATGTGGGTTTTTTTCTTTTGTTTTGTTTTTTTTGGCTTGTCAAAAAAATTTGGGATAGGTATATTAAGGATGGAATCCCCCCACCCTCCACCCACCCCTGGAAAAAATTCTGGGATTTGCAATGAAACATGTGTATTGTTTAGATTTAACTCTGTGTATACAGTTGTTTTTTCAGTTCTCCAAGTGGTATGATAAATGCTTTGATCAAGCTATAACATTTTCATTAATTGAACCTATGTAATAACTGATTAACATTCAATAGAGAAAAACCCTAACTATGTTTATTTAATATCCTGGACTTACTCGACTTGTTCATCTTTTTCCATGATTAGTTTACAGGATATTAAATTAATTCTGGCAAGTTTTATATAAATCAAGTACTTGTCACCATCATATCAATTTTGTCCATAAAACAGTATGATAGTTTTGGGCATTATAAAATAAGGGAAGGGTATATCATCATGTACATTTGTAACTGACTGCATTATGGAAAGGGATTAAAGTGTTGAATAGTGTTATCACAAACACTGTAAGCTTATTGTTAATTTACTGTAAAATTATAAGGGCATCCATCCTGTTGTACATAGGTACAGAGTTCATCATGTGTACTTCTTCCTTGACTGCTAACACCACAGCTTCTTGAATCTAGGATTTATAAGCTTAGTATCATTACATGGCTAGTACATGTAATACAATCAATAGAAGTGGTGAGGCTCTTTATTATTGAGGGTTTGTTGTTGTTGTTATTTACTGGCCATTCAGTGTTCTGTATGACTCACACTAGCATGATACATATAGTGTTCAGAAGTCAAGGACACTCCATGTGATTTAATCTACAGGATAAGATATTTTTTTTAAATGTCTGAAGTTTGACAGTTACCTCCCTTGTATTCAGGTGATCAATGGATGTTAGGCATCTAACCATGTAATCATGACATTTGCAGGATATTGCATTCAAGCATAGGGCTCTATTATGCATCAGATAAATTGATTTTAAGAATATATTACTGTGTATTTGCAGGAAAAACACAGAGATCATGTTTTCTTAATTACATAACATCAATTACAGATGTTGGAGTAATTATTCTGAGTCACTTGGATGCATCAAACAAAAACAATGTTAATGGAGTGCACATTCATTCTGATAATACATGTATATCTGTACCTGTATATTTACTCTATGGAGAAGTGACAATAATGACCTAAATTTAGTTTTCTTCTCCAAAAATGAATATATTTATTTTGCTTCTTTTTAATCTGAGATTTCCTCTGACTCTTACCCCTGCTTTTATATTTTGATATGGGGGTGAGATCTCCCCCGCACAAGTAAAGGCAGGAATCAATGGATTCTTTAGATAGTGTATGATACATGTATAGAGGGAGGATGAGAAATATGGTCTACTGTAAACCAACTTTTATTCGCGTGCGAGAAATTTTCGCGAGGTTCGCGAGAGCCTCGTCATCGCGAATATTTCTCGCCGCGAACCGGTCCTTACAGTCTGTCTTTCTATTAACAACAGATCCAAAAAAAGGCTTGATCGTGAAAATTAATTGTCGCGAACTAGTTTACCCCCGGGAAATCGCGAAATAAAGTCGTCGCGAATAAAAGTTGGTTTACAGTATTTTGTAAATTTAAGTGAGTGACAAGAGATTTCATTATGTTCTTAAGGAGAATTCCTATTGCAAGTGTCTCTCTTTAAGACATCAGAATTTGTTGTGATTGCTGTTACATATTTTAAGATTTCACCTGCCAAGGTAGTAATGTAGTTATTTGTGAACATCTGTATTAAGCATGGTAAGATAATGAATCATGAGAAGAATGTTTTTCAGAATTAGTAAATATGTACACATATTAGTATTTTTATTTTCATTATTTATATATCTTCAGGGTTACATGGTCTTAATTCTCCAATAGCCAAGATGTTGACCTGACAAAAGAATAATTATGGAGTAAAGACCTTTGTGAAGACCCTGCAGCCACTTCTATAGAGGCTGCAATAACCAAACGAATCTGGGTGTGTATTCACTTTTCCGATAGAATACAGTAATATATAGAAAGATCGAGAACTTGTTTTGTGTTATTCTTGAAGTACATTTACCTTTATTTGTATGTGTATAGAACATTTATACCTGTGATTTTATATTTACATAACATGTACCTGTATTTTATCTGTACATATACCTGTTGGAATATGGTCAATGTGCCATGGTTATATATATTTTTTATTGATAAGTTGTTCATACAAAGTGATGATAAAAGTATTAATAGAAATTAATTTTTCAAATCATGGAGCTAGGAGTAAGTAATTAAGAAACATGAAAAAGAAAAAAAAAATTTAGAAGCTGCATTTCCTTCCATGTATCCTTTTTTCACCTTTTAAAAATTAACTGAAAATATGAGAAGTAATTTTAAAGTACATTTTCATTTGTTTCAATTGGTAAAAAATAATTAATAAAGAAAAAGAAATATGCAGCAATAAGCATGATAAGGAAGTGAAAAAAGATTCAGCTTTGAAAATAAACTGTAAAAGATCTAAACATAGTATTTCAAATTGCCACAATCAGTCGATAGTTGATAGTTTAATGTTTGAACTTTTATTTACATGTGCTTTTAAATTGGTGCATGCACTTTTTTTTAACTAAAGGTAGGCATGAGCTGGCTAAAAATTACCTGTGTTATCCTCCAAAATTGGAGGATAAGCTATCTAACAATGCATTATGATTTACCATAAATGGTAAAGATTTGGCTGCCTAATTTAATTTTGTCTATCCTCCAAAAACGGAGGCCGTCTAGATCTGCTAAAGCTAGGGTACATGTATGTGTGTAGTTTATGAGTACTGGTGGTACTTAGAAATTTTGTGCACTACATCAAAGTGTGACCACACGTGTGATCAAGTTGTCTGACCTTTCACATAGTTTTCTGTACTAAATTTCATACATTTTGTTAAAAAAAATACTAGGTACATGTACTAATATTGTGTAGTCTACAATGCATCTGTTTGATCATGTTGTGAAATGTACAATATAAAGGCAGTACATGTATTTTGTAATATTACTCAATTTTCAAGCACATTTTATCATATTCATATGTAGGTATTTTTATTATTGTGCATTGATATCTTGTTGATATGTAGGTATTAAACAATATTTTAAAACATCTGTGACTTAAGGTAATATATATCTTTTACAAGTATTTCAAATGAAGTTTTTCAGAAGCACCATGTAAATATGTAGTAGTATTATACACATACCATGAATGCAGTAATGATAAACTTTCATTTTACTTGTACAGTTGGTGGTATGATAAAGAAAAAAATAAATATATTAGAATTAGTCTGGGCAAAGTAAATTCTATGTTTATTGTCACCCGCATGCATAGGTATTGGAGAAATTGGCACTTTGAAAAAACACACAAATTGATAATTTTAAAGTTTGTATTCCAGTTTTTTTTTTCTTTTTGCAGCTAAAAACTGCATTCCATAGGAATAGACAACATTTGGGTCCTGTATGAAGTGAATTTGAGATGAGTCTATCATTTATACTGACAGATTAATAAAAAAAAAAAAAAGATTTTTAAACAATAAGCCTACATGATGCACAAATATTTACAGTATTTCGATTCATGTAATTGAGTAAATACTCATTTGTTTGAAATTTTCTTTTTTATATTTTTTTTTCTCCCTCCCTTTTAGGTTTTGAAGTTTTTAGGTGACTTTAAACATAGAATTAATTTCAGCCAGCCCTATGATAATTGCGGTGTTAAGAAGGTTTGTTTTATAATTGTGTAATGTTCATGATGCAAAAAACAACAAATTAGTATCCCTACACAAGGAAATCAGAGTATTGTTCATCTTTTTTGAAAAGTTTCTTTGTAAGCATTTCCAAAATCTAAATAAATTGTAAATTGTAGGTTTGATATAAAACTTGAATTGTTAATGTATAGATCTACACTGCACTAAGGTGAAGCTTGCAGTCTCCAAACAATCTTTACCGAGATTTTTGAATCACTGTCAGTCTGTCATCACCTTTTAGAATTAGTAATTTTAAATTGATGGGTAGTAACCTATTTGTAGGTAATGGACGACAGAAGGGTAGCAGACTATTTTGTTGTGGCAGGGTTACCTGACAACCCTCTTCCCCTAGAGGAGTTCTCAAACGAGGCAGCCATCAAACCAACCTATAAACAGGACCCCATCACTGACATTGCCGTAATTGACAAGACCCTAGGAGAGAAGGTCCCCAAAGGATATACATGTATAGAGAGAACACAGGCCAATTTCCTGGCTGATCTAAATCATGGGAGTATCAGGTGTCATGAGATGTTTCTGTGTTACAGGCGAGGGAGAGATAAGCCACCGCTTACTGATGTGGGGTAAGGCAATCTCACTTATTGATGTGGGTTGAGCCATCTCATTACGTAAGCAATCTTAGTAACTGATATGGGGTAAGGCAATCTCACTTAATGATGTGGGGTAGAGCAATCTCATTACTGTAAGCAATCTCAGTAACTGATATGGGGTAAGGCAATCTTACTGATGTGGGATAAAGCAATCTGACTTATTGATAAGGGGCTAGGCAATCTCATTTGTATGGGAATGGCAATCTCAGTGATGGTTGGGTAAGGCGATCTCACTTACTGATGTTAGGTAAAGCAATCTCACTTTCCAATGTGGAATAAGGCAGGCTTTCTTAATGATGGTGGGGTAAGGCAATCTCTCTGATGTATGGTAAGGTAATCTCACTTGCTGATATTGGTTAAGGCAATCTTATTACTAATGTGGGGTAAAACAATATCACTGATGTGGAATAATGCAATCTGACTTAATGATTTGAGATAAGGCAATCCCATTTATGTGGGAAAGGCTATCTCACTTACTGATGCTGAGTAAGGCAATCCTATGCACTGATTTTGGGTAAGGTAATCTTGTCTACTCATGCTGGGTAAGGCAGTGTGACTCACAGATATGGGTAGAGGCAATCTCATTTACTTATGTAGGGAAAGGTAATCTTTGGGGTAAGATAATCTTACTGATGTGGAATAAGGGAATTTTATTTACTGATATGGGGTTAGGCAATCTCACTGATACAGGGTGATGCAATCTTGCTTACTGATTTGGGGTAACACAGTCTCACTAATGTGGGGTAAGACAATCTTGCTTACTGATGTCGGGTAAGGCAATATTACTAATGTGGGGTAAGACAATCTTGCTTACTGATTCGGGGTAAGGCAGTCTTCCTTACTGATTTGGGATAAGGCAATCTTGCTTACTGATTTGGGGTAAGGCAGTCTCACTGATATTTGATAAGGCGATCTCACTTACTGATGTGGGGTTAGGCAGTCTCACTTATTGATATGGGGTAAGGCAATCTCACTAATGTGGGGTAAGACAATCTTGCTTACTGATGTGGAGTAAGGCAGTTTCACTTACTGATGTGGGGTAAGGCAATCTCACTTACTGATGTAGGATGAAATAATCTTACTAATATGGGGGAAGACAATCTTGCTTACTGATGTGGGGTATCTCACTTACTGATGTGGGGTAAGGCAATCTCTTTTACTGATGTAGGGTGAGACAATCTCACTTACTGATGTGGGATTAGGCAATCTCACTTACTGATCTGGGGTAAGACAATCTTGCTTGCTGATATTGGATAAGGCAGTCTTGCCTACTTTTGTTGGGTAAGGCAATCTCATAGACATTGGGTAAGACAATCTTATTAGTAGATTGTGGTATGGGGTATTCATGCAACATCTCAAAAAGTAAATTTGTCAAGTATATACTTGTGCAAGTTTGTAGAAGTGAAACATGTTTCTTATTTGAAATTACTGTGTAGTTTTTTCTCTCCAAAAATTTATAAATATTAAGTATGAATACTAGAGGATAATTATGAGTATTAGATTAATTAATTCTGAAATGTAATAGATTTTGTATAAGTCTTTTTTTAAAAACCATTTCATATACTCCTCTCTACATATTTTGAGATTCTGATCTTTTGGCATGAGAAAATATGATGGGATGATTTTATATTGCATTAGAGTGCTTTATGAAGGAAAGGAAAGACTGATGTCAGAATGTGAAATCGTCCACACCACCCCCTGGGGAAGTCCCGCTAATGTGAATAATGGCAGTAATGGGAGGATCTATATCACGTATCGTCGAGCTCGAGAAACGGCAGCCAGTGATACCCTGGCTGTAGTAGATGTTGTCATTATATTACAAAACAAGGTATTGTGTGAACTCTTAATCATCCTGGTATTTGAGTTTTGTAGATTCAGGGAGAACGAAAAACATCATCAAGATGATTTCTCTGACTTGTTACATGTAATTATCTTTTTCAGAATGAAGTTGCTCCACATGCCTATCACAAAATAGAGAAAAATCTGAACAGAGGAATGGTAAGACGTCTTATAAATGATGAGTAGTGCATAAAGCTTTATTGTTTGGTGTACTGTTTTTTTTAAAGTTGTTTTATTTTTTAATTTTCAACCATCTATAAGTTATTGGTAGCATTGACTGTTGTTGGATATTTCAGTCTACACCTAATCCAAGGCTTGTAAAACACTAGATTGACATTGTTTAAAGATTTTTCTTTTTCAAAATCATTTGTAATGAGGTCTTTTTCAAAAATTGGGATTTCTGACAGTTTGAAGTTTGGTACACTGATGTTAATGTTCAGTTGTTTCTCTTGACAGGTGGGATCAGATGTTTTTGTGTGCTACAAAAAGGCCATGGTTAAGGCAGATATCCTTGCCTACAAACCTGGTTGGTGCTCATTCCTATAATGTATCTTTTCAGTACTGTGAAATCTATTTTTAGTTAATATGTAGGGTTAAAATTTTAATGGTTACTTGTATGAATTAATAAAATTGAAGTTTAAATATTGTAGGCTTAATACAGAGGTACCCTGAAGAAGATTATGAGAATTTTCCATTGCCCCCTGAGGTGCCTCAGTTTTGTCTCCCCATGGGAGCCTCAATAGAATGTTGGTCAGCCAAAGCACAGCATCCTCTGCCAGTCTTCTCTACATTTGTTTTAACATTATCAAATAATGAAAAGGTGCTGCTGTCTTTCTTTAAAAATTATGTTTAATGTGTCTTTTAATACTATTTCAATATATATTTTACATACCAGGTACACATATATGCATCCATTTGTATTTTAAGGATGTACAACACATCAACCCCCAAAAATTCCTGTCTTTTAATTTTTCTTTATTTTTGTATATTTTATACATGACTATATCTTCTATGTGTATGCACATTTTGGACAAAATCATTCAAGTCATATTTGGACAGGAAGTTCCAAAAGTTAAACCCCTTTGGCTGTTCATGAGGAAAAGAAATTTCAATCGACTAGCTATAAATTCTTTGATTTTAAAAAAAGTTGAGTTAGTCTGGCTTTCATATTTCATTGACTCATTCATTTGACCACTAAACACACAAAGTAATTTTGTTGAGGTACACATTTATACATATATGAGGTACACATATATACTGTTCGTTCTATTAAAATTTATCTCATAAGTCATATTCACCTGAATTCAATTTTCTTTTAATTAGGGTGGCAATTTTCAGTTAAAGATTAAGATTTCTTAGCAATTTTAAAATTTATTGATTCACTTCTTGAAATAAATGTTACATTAATTTAAGTCAGATCTCCTTTTACAAATAAGTAAGAAATATACCTTTTATCATGCATGTATTTATTTTTCAGGTTTATGGAGCAGCAGTGACATTTTATGAGGAGTTTGAAGAAGAGAAACTGACTGATTTACAAATGAGACATTTAGGATTAAAAAACAAACACATAAGAGAACAATACAGAATACTGAAAACTGTACATTCCAATAAAAGTATCTGTCTGCTCTCTCACTGGCCATTTTTTGATGCATTTAGGAAGTTTTTGACATACCTATATAGGATATCTATAACAGGACCACATCCTGTACCTATTGAAAGGTAGGTACCTTAAACAAACTCTACAGATAATGCATTTCTCCCCCCCCCCCCCCCCCCCTCCACCATTTAGGAAGTTTTTGACATACCTATATAGGATATCTATAACAGGACCACATCCTGTACCTATTGAAAGGTAGGTACCTTAAACAAACTCTACAGACAATGCATTTCTTCTCTCCCCCTCCCCATTTTAGAAGTTTTTTGACATACCTATATAGGATACATGTATCTATAACAGGACCACATCCTGTACCTATTGAGAGGTGGTGATTTCACTGCTGATTGTTAAATTGTTTGGATTTTAAATTGATTTGTAAAAATCATTCTCAAAGAATCGATATGATATGTATAAGCTGAACTGTGGTGGGATGCAGATTCTTTTATGGAAATGAATTTGTACACAGATATACCAGAAATATAATAGTATATTAATCCATACTGAATCCTCTGAAGATGACAGATATGTTTTAATCTCAATCACTGTTAAATCAAATTCAGAGGATATCATTACCTGCATATTGTATTTTTCAAATGTGTGTATATATACCCAGTTATTATGAAATTATACATACTAATGTTACTCTGTTATGACAGTGGTAAGACAAGGTATATAGGTCTAGATTAGAAGTTGACTTTCTTTGCACTGTCTTACTATAACTTGTCTGACCATAAAGGACAAGATAGGCTAAGACCCTTTTTGGCCCCTGGTTTGCATTGTCTTTTAGAATGATGCAACAGTTTATCAATAAAAACCTGTTGTCACCCCTGCCAAAAAATGGGTATTGGTTCTAGGTTATGGGATACACAGAGGTCACAGGAAGGTCAGAAAATATGTCAATTTCCGAATTTTCTCATTTTTATGCAATTTTCATCGATTTTACAGCACATTTTGTTTGAGAAAACATAGAGCACAACCTTGCCTATCTACCAAATTTATATATTTCATACACTAGTATCAGATGCATCTTATATATAAAAATCTCAGAAAGGCAAGCTTGTGCTCTATGTTTTCCGAAGTGAAATGTAACTCAAATTTGAAAAAATTCCACCAGAATTGAGGAAATTCGGGAAAATGCCCTACTTCTGCCCCCTCTTGTGGCCTCCGTGTAAGCTTTGAATCAAAATTAATGCTGGTTTTAAAACAAGCATCGTTTTAAGTTCTTAACTACACACTATCACAATTTTAACTGTGTTTTGATTTTTACATCAAATAAGGGGCCAGATTCGGCCGTTACCATGCCTTGTCCTTTTCAGCTTTAAAGACTAAGAAATTCTACTTTCAGTCTTAGTTAAATGTTCATTTCTTTCTGAGTCCATAGAAAAATCATGATTTTATCTTTTTTCTTTTAAATAATCACATTCAAAACAAACATTTTTCCTTGTTCCCTTCATGTATATGTGCATTATCTTCTAAGCATTTTGTTGTGATTGTAGGCATATATCTCATTTTATGTTTGATGTTCCGTACCCCTCACCTCAAAGGCCCAGAATTCTTGTCCAGGTACAGTAAGACTACATCATTTAGGAAGTGTTTGAATATATATTTTGCATGTAGTTTTAATTAGGGATGGCAATGGAGAAAAGCATGAAATATGCATCAGATATCTGAGACATTAAAAACTTTTCAGACCAAATGTTACACAAGTTCTCCCGGCAATAATCGGAACTTAAGTCTGAACTATCACTTAATTTCATTGTGTGTTTAATAATATAATTAAATTAATTACTACAAAGGATAGACTGGGTAAAATACACATCATAATCAGTGCTCAGTACTTAGTGGTGATGTAATTAGTATCATTAAAGAAATGCAGATCAATGACATGGTGTTTTAATGGAAGTAAACATTTTACAAACTGACCAATTACCCCCATCTCCATCTGGAGAGCCACAGTTACCTCTGAGTCAGCCTAAATAGATATGTGAAAATGTGTTCAGAGTTTTTTCCTTCTTTTTCTTATTGAATTTAAGGGAAATTGTGTTTAAATTTACACATATTTTTGCCCCTGGCAAACTGATTACGGATTGTCCAACCAATTACTGTAGATCACTTAATTTTTCACGACACCTTATTTTCACAAGATTGTTATTTGGTATTTTTAAGCGAGAGAAAATTTTCATGAATTTGGGTCATTGCTCTGTATAATCTTTTATAGTACTGATATACGCGAGATTGAAATTTTCGCAAACGGACAGTCTCATGTAATTCGTCTAAAGTTCTAGCTAAGAAAAAGTGGATATACAGTACCATCATTCTGACTGAGTAAGCCGTGAACTGATTACAAATTGCCATCCCTAGCTTTAATCTATTATTTTATCACAATTATTTTATAATTCTATACTGGTGTTTAAATATAGTCTATTCAGACCCACAGAAAATAGTACTTAGATTTTTTTTGCAGTTGAACCATGATGCCCTTTCTTTGTCAATGCCAGAGGATTCTCCATTGCCCCAGAGGTAATCCACACATAAAAAAATAACATACAATCATGTAAAAACCCATTATGTTAATGCACAACTTTTCTTGTACTATTTTATATATTTGATTTAACTTTACAACTTGCAATTGCTCTATGTACATCTTTGGAATAAAACAAGCTACTTGAGTTGTGATGATAATAATTACATTAGTCCATGTTGATTGACTCATTTACAGTGGGGCATCTTTTGTGACCCTGCTGAAGAATATGGGCCCAGAGAACTGTATGAGTCTGCTGTTGTACATTCTGCTGGAGTATAAGATTCTTATCCACTCCCTGAGGCCAGCCGTATTGACGGGGGTAGCTGAAGCTGTGGCGGGGGTAAGTGGCACAACAACACAGAGTCATTCACAAGGGTCAAAATCTTTGTTCTAAACCTGAATTATTTATGAAATCATGTGTTGTGTATTATGGAATTTTTTGTGAAGTGTTTTATGTTTTTTTAGATGATCTTTCCCCTACATTGGCAGTGTGCCTACATCCCTCTCTGTCCACTGGGATTGTCAGACATGTTATCTGCCCCTGTGCCATATATTGTAGGTAAGGTATGAAGAAAAGGTCTATTACTGATCAGTGATGCACCTTTAGGAGTCTGGTGTAGTAAATTCATAAAAATTGGTAAAGTTGTACAAATATATTATGACAAATCTAAGGCCCAATTTTTATGGATTGAGAACAAAAAAAGATAAAAACCCCATTCAGTGATATTGCCCAAAGCTATGAGTGTAAAAATGTGTGGATGACATTTTGGGTGGATTTTGTTTTAGAAAAAATTCTCAAAATTAGCTTTCCTGCAAAAATGTTATTTAAGTACCGTACATGTAAATGTAATATGTAATACATATGTTTTTACATAAAGTATCTTAATTTTAAATGTCTCTAGAACAAAAGATTATCACTGTAAAATGTTTACAGTTGTTTAGTTAATAACTAGCCAGACAAAATTACACAGAAGAAATTTTGATTTTTTAAATTTTTTTTTTACAGGGATTGACTCTAGGTATTTTGATCTATATGACCCTCCCCCAGATGTAGTGTGTGTGGACTTGGACACAATCACTATCAGTCTGTACGTCAAAGACTTTTACAATTGTGTGCAAATTGGGTAAACGTTAACATGATGCAGGCTGTAAAAAAAGAAGTACATGTATCTTAAAAATTTAAAAGAAATTTATTGTAGATATTCATGTTCGTTATAAGAATGAACTTTTCTCTCCCATTTTAGGCCTGATGATAAGAAGGGTGTTAATTACAGGAGTTTACCAAAGGTAATACCAACATAAAAAAATTTAATTCTCATACCCATATTTTTTGTACAAAGTATATCCAATATTAGCATAAATTGCATAGAAATAGAGAGTCCATTGAATTGTGTGTGTAACCTATAAAGGACTATGTGTAACACGTTTATACAGCAGGAGAATGAAATCTTTACCTAATTGTTTTCCCTCTTCAACAGAAGCCAGCGCGAGTTTTACAGGACACCCTCCACAAACTGTTTGATGAGCTGTCCACGAGGCAAGGTCTGGGACACAATATTGATGAAGTGAACCTGGAGATGGGCTCCATTGATACAGACTTCAAACGCAAGAGGAAAGAGGTAGAACTTGCGACTGATGATTTGAGTTTGTAAAATGATATTCCACTTGTTCTACTTGTGAATAATTTTGTTGCAATGTCATTCAGTGTCATAAAGTAGTTTTCATTTTATGCTTTGATATCTGTTGTATGTAGCTAACAAAATAGTGCACAACTTTTCTCAAGAAACTTCAACCTTTGTACATGTTGGGTCTTAACTAACTCAAAGCTGTAAAGTAGGTAGGGATACAAAATGCCTGTCATTACATGTACTCCACTGCAACATGATCTGAACATTTTCTGAACAAGTGACTATACTGAAAGATTTTTGAGAGGTCCATTGAGAATTGGCTAATTGTCCAACATTGACAAAACTTACCAGATTGTTGAGTGTAGAGATACATACTAACAATCAAACTTGAGTTACTTTTCTGCATTTGATCTTTGTTTTCCAGCAGAGTGACTTTGTTGACGTTTGCTTTTGGTTTTACTTTTGTTTTGAAAATTGAAATTGCATAATTTTTCAAAATTTGCATATGTTTAGGGCCCACATCATCAAAATATGGATGTCCTATTGAATGGGGAGGTTTGTGTATCTGTCACTTTCATGTGATGCAATAACTTCATTACATGTACCTTTCACCATACTGATTTCATGTATAGGATTGTTAGAGAAGACATGACAGTTTTAAGGTCCCATAGTTGAAGGTCAAGATCAAACATTACAATTATTACTGTTGCATATTTTTGTGATACAATAAGTATTTTTTATTTTAAGGATTTTAAACTTAAATAATTATTGAGTGGGTATAGAATATTTAGAGGAAGACAATAAAGATATTGCATCATTCGTCAAAGGTCAAGGACTGAGATTGAAATTATGATATGACCATTATGATGCAAAAACTTGGATACTGTATTTATTTTCGTGGGGTTTAATTTTCGTGGTTTGAGAAAACATATTGGTTTGTGGGGATTTAATTTCATGGTTGAAGAAGTGAAGTGTTGTCTTGATTACATTTAATACTTCATGGAGGACATGTATTCATGGTTCTCTTCAATCATTGAAATCGACAAAAGTTCTCCCCGCCCCCCTCCCCTCCCCAACTTACAGACATCTTTATAGTTGGAGAAAGGAAAAGACACAATCGCTTGGTTAAAGGTTAAAGTTGAGATTGTTGGAGTGATCATTGTGATAGGTCTCCACAAATAAGAGACCCCTTTATATTCTAAGGTAGTTGTTCTAAAGTCAGTGTCAAAAGATCTAATTATTTTTGGACCCTGTAGTATTTGTTAGTGTTGTAGTTAGCGGTAATTAAGTTACAAGGGAACATCCTATTTGTACACATAAATGTTATGTAAGTAAATCATAACTCAGTATACCATTTCAATTCTTTAAATGACATACATGTAAATTTTAAGAAAAACACTGCTGTTAATTTCTTTTTTTCTTTTTGGAGATGGGGGTATCATTTTAAAGTTTGTTCCAATATGTAGCTGTGAAAGGAAAAGAAAATAGATAAAATTAAATTCTAAAAAAAGTCTGTAAATTTCCAGGATCTTTCTGTGGTAATTGAAAAAAAGGTTTGTGATTTTAAATGTTCTAGAACTTTTAATTCCTCTAAACAATAACAATTTTTAATTCCTGTTATGCCATACTTTCCTTTAAAATGCATTTGGACATCATTTGGACAAGTCATTTAATTTTCTTTACACCTGGTGTGTTGTCATTTGTAAATTTAATGAGTACAGATGTATGTTTACTTTGAATTATTGCATGGTCTGGATCTTTCAGACAATCTTGGTCTTTCAGATGTTTTGATCCACAGTCAATGGGAGTGTTTCCCCTGTTTTTTAAATTATACTATATTTTTTTTTAATGAAAATTGATAATGCATCTGTTAAACAAGAGGAAAATTACTAAGTGAAATTTGCAATATAAAGATTTAAACACTAAGAAGCTTGAGTAAAATAAGTAATATAGCCTGCTAAATGGCTGTAATGCTTCCTTCTAAACAAGTCAACCAAGAATTAACTATATTCAAAACCTATCCCAGAATTTAGACATTTCTTATCCTGTAAAACTCTTTTGATGTAATTTTTATTTCAAGATAGAACTTTTAAACAACTAACATGCAAATCTCCTCGAAATCTGGCTGTATATATATACATATACTGGTACATGTAACTGTATACAGGGTAGGGTTTATAAAAATGATGTACTGATGTCTAATCCATTTCAGACTCTACTAGAGCTGTCCATCCAAGAGGCATTATTGAGATTTATGGCCTGTCTACTGAAGGGGTACAAAAACTTTCTAAAACCCATCACCAAAGCCCCTACAGAATCCACCACTGATCCCTCCTCACTGTTTGATATTCAGGGTAGGTTTACATTTATAATGACATGTCACTTGGATATGTATAGATTTCATTTCTTTATTAATCATATCTCCTTATTTCATTGTGATGCAGTTAAAATTAAATAGCTGCAATAATTATAGATATACGCTTGTTAAGTATTGTAAATATTGATATTTAAACTGTATGAGTTGGCAATTTAAAATAATGTACCGGTAATTGCAATGTTTATAAACAGGAGACATTCTCAGTAAAAATTTAAGTAAAATTTAAAGAAGAAATCTGTAGAAGTGTTTAGTATATAATAAGAAAATAATTTTATTGCCATTCTTATATGAAAATTTTTCACAGTCTAAGCAGTAATGAAAAGGATATATGCTTTGTTTTTTTTAACCAGGTTTCTTAAGAAGCAGGGACAAGGCAAATTTAAAGTTTTTTCAGCAACTGATAAAAACCCAAACATTTATCAGCTTTATATCAGAGAGATCATTTGTGTCAGACAAAGATGCCAGTATTGCATTCTTTGATGAATGCATGGAAAAGGTTTGTTGATATTTGTTGCTTTAAAAATCTTACACATCAAAATTTTGAATCAATTTTTACTCTGCATGCATGAACTGTATACCAGCTTTTCTTAAAGTGCCACTTAATTTGCAAGGTTGTTGAGGAAATGTATGTAAGAATTACTGTTTGTAGCCATAAACAAGTTTATCTTAATTCATATGTCTTGAAAGAAAAGACAACTTTAGACTGAAAAATCAGGAGAAATATAACAAAATTGCAAAAAAGAAATGGCCACAGGAAACTTGATTTACATTGTAGTATTTGTCTAGTATATTGAAACTTCTCTTTTGTTAAGTTCTGTGATACACCTTTCCTGCTTTAATCTTACTGTCATGCGATTGTGTTAAAAACATTATTCAATTCAGTTTACTACAGTTTTATCAGAATATTATTTAAGGAATGAATTTAATAGCTACCCAGGTTATACTGTATAACCTTGGTTGGGACAGTTTACGCTTTATAAACCATGAAGTGTTTTATAAAAAAGCGTAAACTGTTCCATCCCAGGTTATACCAGTATAACTTGGGTAGCTATTAAATTCATTCCTTATAATTTAATTTTCCATCATTAAATTTAAAAAATAAGGCAATATCTCCTTCAAAAATGTCTTGGAACTGTGTATATTTCAAATGTAACATCAAGCGGATTAATACATTTTTGATGTAAGGCATTGTGACATAGGCAACACAGGTATACAACACAAATTAATTTCTTATCCAATCAAATGATGCGTTACAAACAAAATTAAAATTCTGTTTTATAGGTAGATGAAACAAAGGATGAACCTAAGCTGATAGACATAGACGAGTCTCAGAACAGGTACTGTTTGCTGTACTACAATTTGATATCAAGTATACAGGAGCATACTTAATTATTGTTATTTTCTTTTTTTTGTTTCTTAGCAATTTTTTTTTTACCTAGAAATGGATGTACTGTAAATATGGGGGAAAATGACATTCTTTTTTTATGGAGCAAACTTGGCCAAAAACAATGGAATTCCATCATGTCAAAATAGCTAAAATTTACAATAGTGTTTTTAATTTACATGAGACATATAATAGTGAAAAAAAGCTTACAAACATGTACATGTGCATAGGGTTTACAAATGTGCATACAAATTATTTAAAACCTATTAGTGCTCATGTGACATTTTTGTAACTTAAAAATGAAAAAGCTTAAATCTGAATTTTTCAAATTTTATCATAAAAATATGAAGGTACAAATGTGTTTTCCTTTCCTATTGTATAGTGGGGTTGAAATTTTTTGTTTAAGTTGAGTCTATTCACATTTCTCGTGTAAGTTTTCAAAAGGATTTTTTGAGGGTAAAAATTGTAACTTTTTTTTTTTAACAGTGAGAGAACAGTTTTCATAATGCCTCCTGACCCAATTGGCTTACCAGAAGGGAAAACTTACAGGTACGAATTCAGTATTGATGATTTTCATTGAGAGATACAAAGTAGTGCCTCCGTATCAGTAACTTTCCAGTTACAGTGTAATTGATAAAAGAATAGTAACATCTACTTTCAGTAATTTTACTAATGATTTCAGCTATAATGGCTTTCCTGAGTTGCGTTCAGAGTTGTTTCTCAGAAAACAGATCTCCAATGTGTCTTTAAATGAGAAACCTACCAAAAGTGTGCATGAACCTTTGTCACGTAGAACCAAGCAGGAAGTCAGATCAGCCCAAAAGGTGACAGTGCACTTTAATATTTGTAGTGATTTAAATGTTTTGTTTTTTTGTATTTGAATTTTCTGGCATATTCAAAAATATAAGTTAAAGTAAGGTATAAATTTGAATGCAATATAACCAGTTCCTCATATTTTGTAGATGGCACACCAATATGCAAATGACCCTCAATTATGGGCTAAGTAAGTCAAGAATATGTCAAGTTCTGAAAATAAAGATATTCACAAATCAATTTAATTTAAGTTTAAAAGTACAATATAATGTGTTTATTGCTTTAATAAGTAATATTTGATTGCATAAAAACAGTTCAGTGTATATATAATTTAGGTGTTGAGATATTTTCTAATTTCCACTTTATCCTATTTACCTGCAGTGTTCTTATCCCCACATGAATAGATACCACCTGTCTGTTTGATTACAGGTGTTTGTTGAGTCACTGCTACAGTCTCTGGTTTATTCATCTGCCAGCTTACATCGACCACTCCAAGGCACTCAACAAATGTATGAAAGAGGCCTACGATGTACTTCAGAAGATGCAGCTGGCCAAACTACAGCCCCCAGATGAGGTACAATAAATCAGCAGACAGAAATTCTGTACAATAGAAAATATCTGTATTAATCTCTCTTTTTCCCTCCAGTTGGATCTCATTCTTAATGATGGAGGAATTTTAAAATTGTATTAATACATGTATATGCCTAAGAAAGGAAACAGAAGTTCAGTGAACAAAAATTATATGTGGTGTGCTTTTGTTTCTTAGCACATACATGTACTTGAAATTAAATTCACCTTCATTGAATTTCTTGTAAAAATATATATCATAAAGTTTAATCCAGCTTCTATGTTGAAAGAGTTTTTCAAGTTATAAATTAAAAAAAAAATGTTGAATTTATGAGACTATTTTTGTTGGTATTTTGAGTTTATGTGATTATTTTTGATGGTGTTTTATCAGTAAATATTACCTGCTCTCTAGATGTGTTACCGTGTGATGCTACAGTTATGTTGTCTGTATAATCAGCCTGTGATGGCCGTCAAAGTCTTCTACCAAATGAAGCGAGCTAATGTCCAGCCTAATGCCATTACTTATGGCTACTACAACAAGGTTTGTTGTGGAAATTCGTAACCCTATTAAAATAGAACATCAACATAATACAACATAATATAGCATAAGACAATGTAAAACAGAAAAAAACAATACATGGTATCATCAAACATCAAATTCTAAAAGTAAAGAAACTTCACTTTCTAGAACTTTAAAGTATTGATGTAAAAACATATTAACTGGTATGAATTTTTAATTGAATGCATTTTCTCCAATTAGGCAGTATTTGAAGGAACTTGGCCTTCTACACGAAGTAATGCTACCATTCTGTGGAGAAAACTCAGAAATGTCATTATTGGAGCTGCTCAATTTCGAAGACGTTTACGCCGTAGAAGCATGTCCATTAATTCTAACTCGGGGAGTGATTATGACAGGATAAGTCGTACTAGTATTGACAGTTTCCTAGAGGACCACACAGACAGAGGCAATCCTACAATAATGCTGAAATCAGACATTTTCAGTGATTCTAGTCAGATCAGTATGGCCAGTAAAGTCACAGTATCCTCAACAGCTAAAGAGGAGAGCAACAGTACAGGTACAGGAGTCATCTCCCTTATAACAATACAACAGTAGAGGCTCTACTGGCTTATTTTTTAGGGGTTTTTTTTGTAAAAACTCTGGTAGGTACATGTATAATAAATTGAAATTGCATCATGAACTCCTAAATACAATGCTTATACATGTATATAAACTTCAAATATGTTACTGCTTCTAGATTTGTATTTGTAAGAATTTGTATTGTATAGATTGCTTACTCTGTTTTGAGGAAGGTGTTAGCTTTGAAATTCATCTATTGCGTAAACATTGATTTACCTGTAGATTGTTATGTGTCTTTAACAGTAATATCTTAATTAAGCAGGGGAAATATATAAAAACAAAATTTGCTTAATAGTAATTGAGTGATCTATATTACAGGTGGGGTGTCAGACAAGGGCTATAACTCAATGTCCCGAGAAGAACTGAAATCACTCAGCCATCCCGTGTCCAATGGTGAATCTGAGCAGGATCACGACAAAGCTCGTAAAGATAAAAGCAGCTTACGATTTACTTTACCTAATACGCTCAAAGTCAAGGAGAAAAAGGAAACTAATGGTTAGTATTCTCCATACTTCTAGGTCAAGGAAAAGATGTTCAAAAATTTTCCTGCAAAAACTATTTGTTAGTTGTTTGTAGCACTGTTATAATATGTTCATAAAAATGTTGATTTATTTATATGACATTTAGTATTGGCTAGAAATTGTTTTTTTATAGCCTTAAGTCAATATGCTTTTTAACAATCAAGAATATTCATTTTAATCATTCAACTTTACAATATGTACTATATACAGAAAATTATATTCTGTCTTCTGCCTGTATATTATGAAATATTTACATTTGCTATGTTTTTCTACTAAACCAACTGTGCAATTGATTTGAAGTTCATTTTTGTGTATACTCACGCGTAGAAATATACACGGTGAAACTCGCGGTAAAGTGACGTCACAATTGGGCTACAGAGACGTTAATAAAAATGTAACGATATAGGGCAGCAAGAAATTCAAATATTGAGCATGATATTGCTGCTTTTGAACTTGTAAAATGTAAATATAAGGAATGTTTTTAAGTTTAGTGTGAATTATTGGTGTGTAAATCACACAGACTTGCACATAGGCATATTTTTCATGAAGCGCTAGTGCGCTTCATGAAATATGCCTACGTGACAAGTTTGTGTGATTTACACACCAATAACTCACACAGAACTGAAAAACATTCCTTAAATATGGCAGGTTAATGGCATTAAGCTCAGAGAGAAATTTTTAAAAATAATTTTTTTTATAGAGGTTAACTTGAGCAAACCAAGGAAAACGTGTACTTGTACTTGTAAATTACAAGTTTGAATTACGCATATGATTTTACATTGTTTCCTAGTTAGCAATGTATAACGTAGGTGTACTTGTGAGTGTTTTAGTTTAATTTAAGAAAACGCACAGGAAATTTAATATGTCTATCAGTTTTTAGCTCACCTCGACGAAGTCGAAATGAGCTTATGCTATACCCACGGCGTCGGCGTTAGCATCGGCGTCCCTGTTAAAGTTTTAGGAGCAAGTCCATTCCCAAGTAACTATAAGCCCTACCTGGCCCAAACTTGCATGAATGATGCATCTAAGGATGGACATTACCACACTTGCTTCGGATGCTGGATGTGACCTAGAATTTCCAGACGAGTGACCAGGTGAAAGTTTTTGGAGCAGGTCCATTCCCAAGTAACAATAAGCCCTATCTGGACCAAACTTGCATGGATGATGCATCTAGGGATGAACACTACCACACTTGCTTGGGATGCTGGATCTGACCTAGATTTTCCAGATGAGTGACCAGGTTAATGTTTTTACAGCAGGTCCATTCCCAAGTAACTATAAGCCCTACCTGAACCAAACTTTCCTGAATGATGCACCTAGGGATGTACAATAATCAACCTGTTTCGGATGCTGGATCCGACCTAGATTTTCCACATGAGTTAATTTTAGTCATATTTTTAACCAAATTACCATGGATGATGTATCTAGGGATGGATACTTCCAGACTAGCTTTGGATTTTGGAACTGACCAAAATTTTCTTGATTAGTAAACAGGTCAAAAGTTTTTTTGAGTAGGTCTATTTCCAAGTAACTGTAAGTCCTACTTAAACCAAACTTGCATGAATATTGATCTTGGGATGTACACTAACTAGAAAAAAATATGATGTGAAATTTGCCTTACTTATGTTAGATAACATTCGTCAAGGTGAGCTTCGTAATCTTTGATTACCTATGTTTTAGGTTATATGCATTTAAATGAAGTACATGTAATTTGAAAAGAGCTCTCATAATTTTGATTTGTCAAGGCATGGTTTGAAAGTCAAGATGTTGTATATTTAATACTCTATAAATGAAATTTTTTGAATAATAAACATTAAGTTCTTTATATCAGTATTTGCATTAAATCTTCGGGTTTTAGAAAAACATGCCTTTATCAAAATAAACTGCAAATGTAACCCAAAAGTTTGCACTTATGGGTTCTCAGAGATCTACACATATGTAGATAGGTGTAGAAATTTATCATTAACAAAACTGATGACGTGATGCACAGATTTCCGGGCCACACATACACATGTGTGTACATGGTTTGCTTAATTAACCTCTCTTTTGTGAAGAAATATATGTACTAAGATACAACTATCAGTAGTCTGGTTTCCTTTATATCGTGTAAAAACATTGTAGGTGGAAATCAAGATATCACATTTTCTGAGGTGGAGACAGACTTCAGACACAGAGTGGGTAGTATCGTGAGGAAATCCCTGGGCAGCGTCAGTAGTTCTGGAAGTCACGAGACTCTCAAAGGAAGTATGAGTATGTAAACAATTTCTTCTATACAAGTGACTACTAAATGAATTAGTTTTTATATGGTTAAACTAGTGTTAGATCAGTTATCGGTAACTTAAACAAGAGAAATTTAGATCAATAGATTATTAAAAAAATTATTTTGTAAAAAGTAATAAATTTTAAAAAGTTCTTTTTTCATTTTGTAGATCCATTTCCAAAGTTATTGTAACTATAGTTAATGCATAAAAGATACACATTCTGTGTGCAGTATTCTCACAAAATTGTAGTAATTTTATGCTGATGTTTTTTTTTTTTTTAAATTGCAATAAATAATATTGACAAGTATCAGCTAGATATTCTTGGATATTAATTAAAACAAATCTCACTATATTGTGAATTTTTTTACCTATAGTAATCATGATGTGACTAAATAAGAATTAATGTCTAATGCATAGCTCATTGGTTAGCACCCTTAGATATCAGTGTATAACAGACAAGGCTTGCATTTACAGCTTCATTAGTTATGTTGATATGTAGAGATATACATGTACAGATAAAATTGCACTTTTTATTTTTTTTCGAAGTTGGCAGTATAGAAAAACATAGGAAGAATTTGAACATCAGACATGAAGGTTAATGACTTCTCTGTATTGCTGGTCATTGAAGCTAATTGATTTGAATTTGGTTGTTGTCTTTTTATGGAGTTGAGTGTTCTGTTTGTTCTGTTTCTGGATTAATTAAAGAAAATATGTGTTGCCAAATATTAGCAAAAGTGATTTTAATCTAAACTTTTTAATACTTAAAATATACATGTATGTATAAAGATTATGCAATGCTGTATTAACATGAATAAGTATTGTGGGATGACTCCCACATTTTTGTTAAATTGTATTCTGATAATATAGTGAATAATCAGAGATTCTAAATATTTGTAAAATCAAGCATTCCATACCGTGTCATGGACATAAAAAGAATGATCCCACTGAAATGTTTTTGTGTGCAGTAATGATCAACTACGTGTAATTTTATGTATTTGTCAGGGACATTAACTTTACAGAATATTTCATTCACACAGTTTTAAAGCTCTTAATCTAAATGCAAAAAGAAATTGATCTCCCTTTTTAATCAAAACATAGTGCTTTTCATCTACTTTCAATTACATGTATTTACAACAATCCGTTTACTAGTCACCTTGTTATTATGCATATCTTATTAGGAAGCAGTTCGAAATCAGAAAATAATTTATGGGAAAGGAACTGAATGTGCCATTCACTGACTGACTGCCTAATATCAAGCATATTCCATCATATATTTAAATGATGCTGTGTCCATTCCTTGACTGCTATGTTTCATATATTTCAGTGACAAGTTCACAAGCGGGACTATTGATGCTGAGTCAAAATTCCTTGGATTCTACATCATTTCCACAGGAGGTCAATCTTCAGTCTAGCTTTAATGCTGGTGACAGCAAAAGGAAACGCCATAAAAGTGCTGGAGACTACCACACAAAGACCACACGATCAAATAGTGTGTTCAATAATTGGCGGCCACGACACATTAGTGGTGACCCAAGTTGTATGGCCAGGCCTTCCAAAGACATGCTAGATGATGATATATTTGTAGAGGAAGCTGAACCAAGTTCTGGACCGAATTTGGAGGGAATTACTGAGACAGTGGATAGTGGAGTGATTGTAGAGGACTCACAAGGTGCAGGTCACCCCAGTGAGACACCCCAGACTCAGAATCTGGAAAACAGAACTATTCCTCCTGTTATAATGGAGTCCAAGCCTTGTGATATTCCACAGAGGAGGAGTTTGCTTGATGGATCTAGTAATTTTGTACATTCCTTAAGTTCCCCAGTCACAGAGAATGATCCACTTGGATTGTTCAAAGATGAAAGTCCAGAACAAGGAGAGGAAGAAGAAAAAGTGGTCATGAGAAGAAAAAACATTCAGACTAAACCTTTTGAGTCAGAGAGGTTGAGTTATGTCCGTCATAGTGCTGATTTTGATGCGGATATTCATCCTGATGCTAAAATTATATTTGATCCAGATGATCCTGACTCTGTGTATACAGTTAGAGAAATAGACCCCAGTGAGGCAGGGATTAAGTGCAATAGGAATATTCCAGATGATCAGAAGGCTTCCTTTAGACTTGGTTCAGGTTTGAGCCTTGATGACTCCTTGTCGTCAAATGATTTATATGGAGACTCAAGACCTTTATCTCAAATGGAGAAAATTGGGAAAAGGTTAAAGGAAATGGGAAGAACACAGAGTACCCCAGATAACCTGGATGAACAGGATCGCTCCAGTAAATCTAGACTTAGTGCTGTTACTAGTTATCTTACGTCTTTCCAGTCACCCACAAAAAAATCCCAGGACTCTCTGGATGAAGCTGGGGGAACGCCTTCAGAATCCAGATTTTCAAGATTAGGGAGCTTTAGAAAAAGAGAAAGGTTAAGCGGTGCTTTTAAGTCAGCAGCAGGTGCTCTGATGAATAAGATGAATGAAATAAAACAAACAATATCCACCCCAGTAAAGTACGGATCTAATCAGTCACTCGGAAGATCAAGTGACAATCTGGATGGGGATGAGAAAAGAGGAAGAGACATGCCAGCAAGATCTTTGGATCACCACAGAAAACACAGAAATCCTTTAGAAGAATTTGACAACTTACATCCATATCCTAATAGTATGTTATTATATGCCCTTCAACTGTTAGAGAACTTCTTTGTACCTTATTTTTAGCTTGTCTGAGCCAAAGGCTCAAAGAGCTAATGCTATGGCCATTTGTGCAGTGTGCGTAAATTTTTAGAGTATGGGCCAATATTTAACTCAAGAATCCCTTGGCCAATTATTGTCAAGTTTGTCAAAGAGTATCCTTGGCCCAAGGACTCCCGTTTATACAAAAACTAGGGTTGTGAACCTTAAAAAAGGGGAGATAATTAGGTAAATAAAACCAAAAGTACTGGTTGCTAAAAAATCTTCTTCTCAAGAACCACAGGACAGATTATCACCAAACTTACACAAAAGGATGAGGGTATGTTGAAGATTAAAAATTGTTCAAGGCATTACCCTGGGGCAAAGGGCATGGTCTCTAGGTCACTTCAAAGTTGACCAAAAATTACATTTTATTAAAATGTTGATATTTTGCTTACTATAAGGACTAGGATTATCAGATCTTGTCAGTTGATGCATCTTAGGACGTCATATCATGTTGACTCAAAAGTAGGTCATGGTGACCTACTTTTTATGCCCCTGGATCAAAAGATCTCGGGGGTATATTGTTTTTGTCCTGTCTGTCTGTTTGTCTGTTTATCTGTTTGTCTGTCTGTCTGTTGTCAACTTTAACCTTGCCCATAACTTTTGTTTGGTTGGAGCTATGACTTTCATATTTCACATGTGTATTCCTTGTGACAAGACCTTTCTTTGGGTACCATCATATTTGACCTTTTGACCTTGACCTTGGAGTTTGACCTACTTTTTAGCTCACCTGAGCTGAAAGCTCAAGTGAGCTTTTCTGATCACCCGTTGTCCGTCGTCCGTCCGTCTGTCCGTCCGTCCGTCTGTAAACTTTTCACATTTTCAACTTCTTCTCAAGAACCACTGGGCCAATTTTAACCAAACTTGGTACAAAGTATTCTTGCGTGAAGGGGAGTGTAAATTGTTAAAATAAAGGGCCAAGTTTCCTTACAAGGGGAGATAATCAAGAAAAGACAAAAATAGGGTGGTGTCATTAAAAAATCTTCTTCTCAAGAACCACTGGGCCAGAAAAGCTGAAACTTATGTGGAAGCATTCTGGGATAGTGTAGATTCTAAATTGTTAAAATCATGACCCCCGGGGGTAGGGCGGGGCCACAATAGGGAATCCAAGTTTTACATTGAAATACATAAGAAAAATCTTTAAAAATCTTCTTCTCAAGAACCACTTGGCCAGAAAAGCTGAAACCTATATGGAAGCATCCTGGGGTAGTGTAGATTATAAATTGTTCAAATCATGACCCCCGGGGGTAGGATGGGGCCACAATAGGGAATCCAAGTTTTACATTGAAATATACAGGAAAAATCTTAAAAAATCTTCTTCTCAAGAACCACTTGGCCAGAAAAGCTGAAACTTATATTGAAGCATCCTGGGGTAGTGTAGAATGTAAATTGTTCAAATCATGACCCCTGGGGGTAGGGCGGGGCCACAATAGGGAATCCAAGTTTTACATTGAAATATATAGGAAAAATCTTAAAAAATCTTCCTCTCAAGAACCACTTGGCCAGAAATACTGAAACTTATATTGAAGCATCCTGGGGTAGTGTAAATTATAAATTGTTCAAATCATGACCCCTGGGGGTAGGGTGGGGCCACAATAGGGAATCCAAGTTTTACATTGAAATATACAGGAAAAATCTTAAAAAATCTTCTTCTCAAGAACCACTTGGCCAGAAAAGCTGAAACTTATATGGAAGCATCCTGGGGTAGTGTAGATTATAAACTGTACAAATCATGACCCCCGGGGGTAGGGCAGGGCCACAGTAGGGAATCCAAGTTTTACATTGAAATATATAAGAAAAATCTTTAAAAATCTTCTTTTCAAGAACCACTGGACCAATAAAGCTGAGACATATTTGGAAGCATCCTGAGGTAGTGTAGATTCTATATTGTTCAAATTTTGACCCCCGGGGGTAGGGCGGGGCCACAATAGATATATTAAAAGGGGGGAAATCTGGTAAAGAACAGCATGGCCAAAGTTACTCAGGTGAGCGATGTGGCCCATGGGCCTCTTGTGAAAAACTTTAACCTTGGCCATAACTTTTGAACAGTTGGTACTTGGGTTTCAAACTTCACATGTGTATTCCTTGTGACAAGACCTTCCTCTGGATATCAACCTCTTTGACCCTTTAACCTTGACCTAGGAGTTTGACCTACTTTTGAAAAACTTTAACCTTGGCCATAACTTTTGAACGGTTAGAGCTAGAGCTCTCATACTTCACATATGTAATCCTTGTGACAAGACTTCCTTTGGATACCAACCACTTTGACCTGTTGACCTTGACCTAGGAGTTTGACCTACTTTTGAAAAACTTTAACCTTGGCCATAACTTTTGAATGGTTGATGCTAGGGCTTTCATACTTCACATATGTAATCCTTGTGACATCACCTTCCTTTGGATACCAACCACTTTGACCCTTTGACCTTGACTTAGGAGTTTGACCTACTTTTGAAAAACTTTAACCTTGGCCATAATTTTTGAATGGTTTGTGCTAGGGCTTGCTTACTTCACATATGTAATCCTTGTGACAAGACCTTCCTTTGGATACCAACAACTTTGACCCTTTGACCTTGACCTTGGAGATTGACCTACTTTTGAAAAACTTTAACCTTGGCCATAACTTTTGAACAATTGGTGCTAGGGCTTTTATACTTCACATATGTAATCCTTGTGACAAGACCTTCCTTTGGACACCAACAACTTTGATCCTTTGATCTTGACCTTTGAGTTTGACCTACTTTTGGAAAACTTTAACCTTGGCCATAACTTTTCAACCGTTGGTGCTAGGGCTTTCATACTTCACATATGTAATCCTTGTGACAAGACCTTCCTTTGGATACCAACAATTGTAATCCATTGACCTTGACCTTGGAGTTTGACCTACTTTTAAAAAACTTAAACCTTGGTAATAACTTTTGAACGATTGGTGCTTCAGCTTTCATATTTCACCAGTATATTTCTTGTGAGAAGGCCTTTCCTTAGACACCATTATTTTTTACCATTTGACCTTGACCTTGATGTTTGACTTACTTTTGAAAAACATTAACCTTTTCCATATCTATTCAATGGTTGCTGCTAGGGCTCTCATATTTTACAGGTATATTCCTCGAGACAAGACCTTACTTTGGGTACCAACATATTTGATTTGCATTTGAGAAAGTTTAACCTTTGTTATAAGTTGCCATACAGGGACATCAGTGTTTCACAAACACATCTTGTTGAAATTTACAGCCATTCTTTTTCAGATTGATTTAGAGGCATATTTTGAACAATTTAAGGCCTATGATCATCAAACTTTGTCAGTTGATGCATCTTGGGTCCTTGGAGTATGTCAACTAAAATTTGAATTTTTATGGCTAATCTTTTTCAAAACATTTAAGGTCATTAATTCAAATACTGAGAGGTTTAGAATCATTAAATCTTGTAAGATGATGCATCTTGGGGCCATGAAACATATTTATTAAAAAAGGGTCACAGTGACCTACTTTTTGAACTTTGCAGGCATTTGATTTCAAAGAGTTTTAGAGGATATTTTCGACATTTTAAGGCCTATGATCATAAAGCTTTGTAAGTTGATGCATCTTGAGTTCCAAAAAAAAACGTCAACTGAATAAGTAGGTCACCATGACCTTTTTTTTTTTTTAATTTTATGGCTATATTTAAATATTTTGGATACTATTTGGTTTAGAATCATCAAACTTTGTCAATTGATGTATCTTGGGTCCTCAGAGTAGGTTGAATAAAATGTAGGTCACCGTGACCTACTTTTCAATTTATATGGCTATAATTAAATATTTTCTGGTACTAATTTGCTTAGAATCATCAAACTTTGTCAGTTGATGCATCTTGGGTTTTCGGAGAACGTCAACCAAAAAGTAGGTCACCTTGACCTACTTTTGAAATTTTATGGCTATATTTATATAGTTTCAGGTCCTAATTGGCTAAGAACCATCAAACTCTGTCAATTGATGTATCTTTGGTACTCAGAGAATGTTAACCAAAAATTAGGTCACCGTGACCTACTTTTGAAATTTATGGCTATATTCAAATATCTCAGGTTCATATTGGCTTAGAATCATCAAACTTTGTCAATTAATGCATCTTGGTAGGTCACACTGACCTACTTTTGAAATTTTATGGCTATATTTATATAACTCAAGAACTAAATTGGATTGGAACCATCAAACTTTGTCAATTAATGCATCTTGGGTCATCGGAGAACGTCAACTAAAAATTAGGTCACAATGACCTACTTTTGAAATTTTATGGTTATATTTATCTCAGGTCCTTATTGGCTAAGAATCATCAAGCTTTGTCAGTTGATGCATCTTGGGTCCTCAGAATGTGTCAACTAAAAAGTAGGTCACAGTGACCTACTATTAGAATTGCAAGGCAACATCTAAATATTTCAAATAATAGGAGTCTTAAAATCATCAAACTTTGTCAGTTTATGCATTTTTGGGTCTAGGAGTTTGTTTACTGAAAAGTTTGGAATCTCATGGCTATATTTAAATATTTAAGATAATAAGGGGCTTTGAATCATCACACTTTGTCAGTTGATTCATCTTGGGTTCTCAGAGTGTTTTAACCAAAATGTAAGTCATGAAGACCTACTTTTGGAATTTCAAGGCTTTATCTTAATATACAGGATACTTAGATGCATCAAATAGAAGTGATAGGTTGTACAATTTATCAGAAGAGCGATTCAAGGCCCTTGGGCCTCTTGTTGTACTGTTTGCTGAGCAACACCAAAATATCATACGTGTGTGTCCTCTGTCCCTCTATCTGCCCTTTATGTTAAGGTCACCTGAGTCATTCAGGAGATTTATTGTTCCTTAAGCTCTTTGACATATTCCCTCTTTTTTAAAACTTTTAAGCCAATTTTAATTAAATTTTATAAATTTAGGGGTAGATGAAAATAATGTGAACTTCAGGCTCCTTGTGCCCATATTGAGACCTCAGGTATGGGGCAAAAACCTTAACGGAAAAAAAAATTCAAATTTCAAAATTTCTACTCTTGCACATCTAGCAGACAATTTGCTTTCATGACAGTGATAAACAAGGAACCCTCAACCAATAGTGAAAGTTTGATGTCTTCTGGTTCTTTATGTCAAAGTTTGACACATTCCATTATATTTTTCAAACCATGAGGGCTAAGTTTTGGAAATGTAAACTGTTCTGTAAAACACATTTTATCCATGAAAACTATTTATACACCAAGTACTCCTTGATGATAATGTGAGGTAACTGTAGTTATAGGAATTAATGAAAATTATGTACTGTAGATAAAAACAATGATAATAATTTGTTTCACTAAAATGCACAGTATAAATGATTTAGATGTACAACGTGGAACTGTTCTTCTTAATAGACTATTATTGTATTCAAGGACAGATAGAGAAAACGAAGGTCATAAGGTTACAGGTCATTCTTCATACTCTACATGTATATGTTGTTTCAGTATCACATACTCTTCAAATGAAAGTCAAATTTAAAGGTATATTTTAGGAAATTTTAATGCAAAAAGCATGTATGAACATTAATTTTCAACAAACAAAACATAAAATGATACGTTTTATTTTGCAGGTAGCTTACCATCCTCTTCTTTTATGGAGCAGTATGTTCCTCTAAAAGAATTTGGTGAAAACAAATCTGTCACATTTGCCAGTTTAGAAAACACTTTACAAAACATTGCCATGGAGATAGAGATAAGTAGCTGTTTCCGGTGTAACAGGTGTCGAGCTCTTTTGTATGATGAGGAAATTATGGCAGGATGGTCAGCAGATGATTCAAATCTTAATACTTCGTAAGCATGTCAAGATTAAATCTTTTCTTTTCAGTTCAAGATTTTCCTTCATAAGGACTAAACATGTATTGAAATTAAAAATTATAATTGGATAATGTTTCTTTGTAGTTGCATTTTCTGCCAGAATAAACTAGTGCCAAAATTACAGATTTATGTGAAGGTAAAATTTAATGTACAATTATTTTTTAGTGCACTTACATGTAATATTAGGGGGCAAAACCCAGTAAACAAATGATTTCTTAATAATGCAAAATGCATTTGCTATTTTGATTAGATTGTCCAAGCATACTTAACCAAACAATCACCAATTTTTTCCTGGGGAAATAGGAATATTCATAAATGAAATTGAGAACAATATGAGTTTATTTTAGGACTGGCGAGGTGGTAACATTTCTTCAGTGGGAGAGAGTAAAGATGATGATGCTGACAAACACTCCACCAATACAGACCCTGATGTACACTCTAGTCATTCAAACCATGATCCATGGGTTCTCCAAGAAAAGATTCACTCCAACTCTAGTCTAGAAAACTCCAATGTGGACTTCTTCTTTGGGGAAGAGCATCTGGAGGGTGAGGGACCACTCAATGTGCTAGAGTCCCCAGAAAGGGCAAAGAGAGACAGTCACTTGGCTAAGGCAGCCCTTTCTAACACTGTTAGTCCACGCTCTTCTGGTGAGTAGATCATGTTGTGTCCCAGTTCTTTCTTTTTTTTTCAAGTAAAATCTTATTACATATATGCTACAAAGATAATGGTATGTCCACTTCTTTTTTCTTTCAAATATTGAGGCAAAATTTTCTATGTTTAAAAGAGACTGGAGTGTTAAACAGCACAATGAATAAGTACAAGCATTCTCCACAATGTTGCAGGTTCTCTAGACTTGGAAGGAATTGCTTTGAATTCTCGGAGACGCTGTGCCAGTGAGTGCTTCACAAACTCCACAGACAACATGATGTATGGGTCGTCGTTTGATTCTATGGAGGATTACGGGGGATTCAGGTCTTCTCTTCGTATTTCTATTGGAGAAGATGTAGAGTTACCTGTAGGACCAGATCCAGAACCTGAGATGAAGAAAGACTTCATGGAAAGGTGAGATATCTTTATGTATATGTATGTAGAGGTATTGTACAAATTACTTACGTACATATATGTAGAGGTATTGGATATTACTTTATGTACAGTGTACATATATGTAGGCTCAAGTGAGCATTTCTGAACAAAATTTGTCTGTTGTTGTTGTTGTCACTGGCGTTGTCATCATAAACTTTTTACAATTTCATCTTCCTCTCCAGAACCACAGGGCAAATTTAAACCAAACTTGGCACAGAGTATCTTTGGATAAAGGGGATTCAACTTTTATTGAATGAAGGGCCACATCGTCTTCCAAGGGGAGATAATTTAGAATTAGTAAAAATTGGGTAGGGTCATTTAAAAAAAATCTTCTTAAGAACCACTTGGCCAGAAAAGATGAAAATTTATGAAATCCTCCTGATATAGTGTAGATTCAAATTTGTTCAAATAATGACCCCCAAGCGGTAGGGTTGGGATACTTTGAGTGAACGAAGTTTAACATGGGTATATAAAGGAAAAATCTTTATAAATCTTCTCAAGAAAAGCAAACAAATAAATAGTCATATTTATATGGAAGCATTGTCAGGTAGTGTAGATTTCAAGTTTGTTCAAATCATGACCCCCAGGGTTAGGGTGGGGCCACAATAGGCAATCAAAGTTTTACATTGGAATAAATAGAAAAAATCTTTAAAAATGTTCTTCTCAAGAAGAGGAAAGCCATGATCTGTCATATTTATGTGGAAGCATTGTCAGGTAGTGAAGATTCAGATTTGTTCAAATCATGTACGCCCCCCCCCCCCACACCCCCCACCCCCTGGGGGGGGGGGGGGGGGGGGTAGGGTGGGACTACAATTGGCGATCAAAGTATTACATAGGAATATATAGGTAAAAGAATCTGCTGAGGAAGAACAAGAAAAGCCATAGTTACTCAGGTGAGTGTTGTGGCCCATGGGCCTCTTGTTGAAGGCTTGGTGGTTGTTAACTAGATAATTACCTTTAATTAGGGTTTATAAAGCAGTTTTTAAAGCATAGTTATACAAATTAGCGTACATTCTGGCAGAAGAGTTCCTTAGGCATTTTAATCTTTCACGGAGATGCCATTAGCAATTAAATCATTTTTTTTGTGTCTTCAATACATTCAATACATCAATTGGATTCCTATATATAGCAGATGTACAACATCAATTTTGTCATGTCTTCACATGTTTAATTTGATTCCTACATTTTACAGATGTACAACATCTGTAGATCCTATCACAGTTCCTTACTTATCTCCCTTGGTGCTGCGTAAGGAGCTGGATAATATTCTGGCCAATGAGGGAGATCTCTCGGTTGGGTCCGATGAATTCCTTGACCAACATCCAATCATCTTCTGGAATCTGGTAAGGCTGAATTATCAAACTCAAGAAGGAATTGCTGTAGGGGACATTCATTTTTAATTCATTAAAACTTTGAGCATGAAAAATAGTGAAACACATCTTGAGTATCCAGCTTGCAGGTGGACAGAGTGTGAACAGTTTTGACTCCTGCATATTTGTATTGGAAGAGACTTGCTTTCACACCAATAGTCAGAGGCTTCTTCTATCACATATCTTTATGAACCTTCATAAGGTTCAGAAATCTGATTGGGATCTAGAATCAAGGTTGTGACATGCATTGCAGGTTCCTTAAGCTTTTTAATCTTAGTAGGATTTGTGGACTGGGCTTTACAGGATAAACTTTGTGAGACAACTGAAATCAATGCAATGAAATGAATTCAGTTTGCACATGGTACATGTTTAATATATGTATATTTCTCATTTATTTGTCAATATGCTAATGTTTATTGGATATTGAAAGTAAAATGTTTAGCTCACCTGTGTCAAAGGCTCAAGTGAACTTTTCTGAACAAAGAGTGTCTGGCATCTCTCCCTTGTGTGTTCTTGGTTGAAGAGCCGGCCGGGATTCATTTTTATTCACACCCTTTTTCAAGGGAATATAAAAAAGAAATACATAAATAAGACAGGGTCATCAAAACCAATTAAGGACAAAAGCTACATCATGTAATAAGTGTAGGTTCATGATTGTTCAAATCATAGTTCCTGAGGCAAGGGTTGATTAAATATTAAAATTAATATTGAAGTACATGTACTGGTATATGCACAATTTCTGTAAAAATCTTCTCTATTTTTCATTACTGGTAGTATAATGGAAGCATGCATGATAATACTTAAAAGAAAAGAATGAATTGCACATTGAACATTTCATATCCAGTACAGAGAATATAACGGCATACAGTACCGGTAATTTAGTATTGACAATGAGTAAATATCTGCAAGGTACAATATACATCTACTAAGTATTTAATTATAACTCCATAAAAATGTGCAGAATTTTGTACTTAAAATAAATTGAAAAAAAAAACATATTAAAATAAGAAATAAGTATATCTACAGGATACATTGATTAGGATAAGAATGGTAACTTAGGTGAACACTGTGGCCCCTGGGTTTCTTTGACAGTCTTGGGTAAGAAATCAGATCTTCTAAATACCATACTTAAAGCAGTAGATTGATTAAGCATGTGTGATACATTTAGATTGTGATACATGTATTTTTAATACATATATTGTAGGTGTGGTACTTTAAGAGACTGGAAGTACCAAGCCACGTACCAGGATTTTTGTTGACTGCTAAGTCTATCAATGGCGAGGACGGAAACGTGAGTTCTGTCTCAGGGTTTTTCAGGCTTAAAATTACATTCAGATATAACCATGCAGTATCACACCATATTTTTTTTTTCAAAGTAGGTGCAATAGTAGATTTAATACCGTATTTCCAGTATAATATTATACAGTTATGGAATGGGTATGAGGGAAATAGCAAATTTATGGTTCCCCAAGGGAGGAAACTATTTCCCTTGGCGGCTTCGCCGCCTCTGGAAATAGTTTCCTCCCTCGGGGAACCATAAATTTGCTATTTCCCTCATACCCATTGGGAACCATAAATTTGCTATTTCCCTCATACCCATTCCATAACTGTTTTATTATACCGAAACAAACAAAGGGGATTTATTAACTAGAGATTTAGACATTTTAAAAACAATATAGAGGCATTTATATAAATAATCAAAAATGATTCCAATTTTGTTAAATATGTAATGCATCAATACGGAAAAAATAAAATTATTTAAAAAAATAAAAATATCACAAACATTTCGAAGGATTATCGTTGTCCTCTTTTTGCTTAGAAATTCCAGTATGATTTTGACATCGCATGTCGAAATATTTTGACGTCATAGTTCCATTGCTAATAACATTACGTCACGGACTCGAGATTCCTTGAACGCTCCGCCCACTGTTCATTTTAATTGGTTAAAATTAATAATAAATATTCATGAGGGAGTAGTCCCAGGGAGTAGCTCTGATTTTTCAGGGAGTAGTCCTCAGATGGGGGAAATAGTATCTTTTCGTGGAAATAGACAGTTTTATGCTATTAATTTTATATAGAGTAATAAGTGTAGAGGTATAATAATAATTATTGTAATTGCAGGTTGGGATATACAGCAGTAAGCATGTTTTGATACGACCCCTGTGGGATAATGTCCGTATTCATGAAGAAGTGGGTTTACCTATGTACAGATTATGGAATGAAGGTAAACATTTTCTACTGTCCAAGTAGAGAGGATGTTTCTGATTCAGTGTGTGATTATATTCTTATTTAGGGTGATCTCAGGTTAATATAATTGTAATCTTTATTTTATAGGAAAAAGTTCACATACTGTAGATGCATTAATTACTGAGGCACAGCCTTTCAACAGGGCGTAAGTATTCTGATAAATGTAAATTTTTTGGTAAACTTATACATACAAATATACAGCAATGTACCTATAGCCGTTTTATAAAAATACATTTACATGTTTGAGTGGTTGTTTAGGTGAGAAAAACATGAGAGAGGATGAGCATTAAGAGTCATTCTCTGTAAGGACCTCGGATGCCGTTCAAACGAATATCACGGGTTTTAATAAAACATATATGAAAAAATTATGAATGTGTATGAGATTAATTATGTATATTAAAAAATTTGGGATGTGACCTATCCTCCAGGTTATGGCCCCTAACACATTTTGTGGCTACCCCCATGTTTGAAATGACCAGTTTTCTCGTAATTTATCATCAAATATTCAAAATAAATAATGCACTATGGTTGGATTAAGTGCATTTAATTGTGAAAACAAGGTGTGAAGTAAAGATAAAAAATTATTTTGATTTATCATTAACACTCTTTTTTATTTTAAAGAAATTTAAATTTCCTCACCTTTTTAACCCTTAACCAATAGGCTAAATAACCATAATTTCAGTGCCATTTTATGAAAAATCCCAAGATAGGTTTATAAAATATTAACAATATTTTGAAAGCAAACATACTTGATTATTTATTTATAATTATTTTGGGGTGTGTTTTTTGATTTAAAAAAATAAAATGCATTTGAAAAATGAGAAAAACCTGCCATTTCACCTAATATTATCTCCCTTTGTAAAACTCTCTAGTTCCAACAGTGAAAGGAGGTAAAAACAACACTATATTTACTCCCCGTCGAGGCCTCATCTACAGAGAGCAAACGAACTCTGGCGGAAGTTTGTAAGCATGACGTCTGGAGTTCCTTTTTACAAACCATGTGTTTTATTGATATTTTTATACAAAAGTGCCTAGATTATATAGTTCAGCTTCCTTAGAAGATGTGATAATGCTTGTTCTGAAGACATTCAACAGTTGACCAGTTTCGTATCAGTTTGTCTTACGTAGGTCATATGCCATGTGTTGCACTTGCTAAATACAGTGAATGACTATCGAATGTGCACGAGTTATTTTGACTTTTCTTTAAAATTAAATACAAAGAAGTCAAGAAGGAAGCTATGTCAAATTCCAAGTCTTCTTAGCTCCAACTTACTTATTGAAAACCCAAGAGAAGATGGACTAAGAATTCCCTTCCAAGTAGAACACGTGAAATGTGAAAGCAGGGGTTTGAAGAAGTGTGAAATCCTTCATTTTATTGGTCAAGCTGGTGCAACGCTACCATTTATACGTAAGTAACTAAATGTTCTTATATACGATGTTATATTTATTCCTATAGAGTAGATGATCATGCTAATCAAATGTACCCTTTAAGAGTTTCTCCAATTATTGTTTATTTAGACCTGTCAACATACAAAACTAAATAAAAAAAATATGTCAAATGTGTGGTTGAATGGCTAACAACACATTCCTATATAATTATTATACGCCCGTCTTAAGACGGGACATATTGCTATAGGCTTCATGTCCATCCGTCTGTCCGTCTGTTAGCTTTTTTGTTTCCGGCTCATAACTTTAATACTATTAGGCCTAGGATTATCAAACTTTGTCATCTAATGCATCTTGGGTAGAAGGTGTGTTGCGCATAAAAAGTAGGTCGCTCAGACCTTTAATTAAGAAGTTATAGTCAAATATGGAAAAATCCTTTCCGGCATATAACTAGAAAACTACAAGACTTACAATCATCAAACTTGGACAGTTTATGCATCTTAGGTATAAGGTGTGTCACGACCTATTTCAAGGTCACTGTGACCTTTAATTTAAGTGAAATTTAAAAAAAAAATGTGTCTTTTTACTATTCATTTACACATCCCAAATAATGTAAGAGTATTGCACTGTTCTTATTAAAAAAGTGTTAAATCAAGAAAATACTTATTTTTTTAAGCATATACTTGACAGCAATCTATAACAAATATAATGTATGTTAGAGAAATCCTACCTCTTCCATGAGTGTAATTATCAAGCACTGGTCAAGAAGATTTTTGATAACAGAAATTTGCATGTCAAATTAGAGAGAAATTAATGAGTTTAGTGTGAGGAGCTAACTGGCAGAGCATCTCTGATCAAGCAGGTGTTATCTATATCCCTTGGGTATTGGGCAAATGGGTTAAAGCCTGTTGGATTAAAAAATAGCTCTTGTTTGCTAGCCTAAGTTTTAAAATGAATTTGATGAAAAGTAATTAAAACTAATTTGATATTGCATAATAGACTAATCTGATATTATATAATATTATTAATTTAAAAACTAATTTTATGGGGTGGGGTGGAATCAGCATGTCCATATGAATTAGATCTACATATTAAAACCTGTCGGACATTTTATCTCAACAAAAAAAAATCTTTGAGTATTTTATGAATTATATGTTTTAAAAAAATTTTGTGGTAGATAGTGCAGACCCATTCATCTCTTGGTAGTAATGAGTAGACAAGCATCCAGTTACTTTTAGATTAATTAATGAGTTCAATGTAGGAAGGCTAGCTGTCTCAATCATTTCTTTAGAGCATCTCTGATCAAGCAGTCTTATCTGTATCCTTTGGGGATTAGACAGAAGAACTGCTGGTCAGTTTATAGCATATTTGATTTGATGGCCTGCCTTTTATTTTCAAAATTAATTTGGTATAGATTAAGGTGTTAAGACTAATTTGATATTTTTTAATATGATGGGCATTTGACAAGGTCTAACACAACTAGGGGTGAAACGATACACCTCCTTCACGGTTCGATACGTATTGTATAATTTTGTCTCGGTTCGGTTATTTTCGATACGATACATTTTGATAGAAGGAAACAAATTCAACGTTGTTTTATGCTCTCTTTTTCTAAATCTAGTCACATATTTTACGAATTTTATTTGCAAATTGACTAGAAGAAATTGATTAAAATTATTTGACTGTCAAAAATTATTTTACAATCTATCAGTCATCAAAAATTTACGTTTTCTATACAGTATACTTATTTATACTGAGTAACGTGTTTTACCTTATGCCAAACCCGACTGAATAACGATCCCGACCGAAAAATGAACCAAACCGAAAATTAGAGATTTTGCACCGCGTATCAAACCGAGAAAAAATACCGCGGTGAATCGATACCGCGGTGAACTGTTTCACTCCTAAACACAACCAGCATAGAAATCTATCAATGATGCAATATTTATAATATTATAATTAATGCCTACATCACAGGGGATGGATAAATACTTTAAGGAATGGAAAAATCATGGAAATCTTAGAATCAAGGTTGACATGATTTTCTTGCACTCTAAACTGTTCAAGAAAATTGTAATTTTTTGACGGGCGTATCATGCTGTGGCGCGGCACTTTAATTGTGCTTTAATGCCAGTAAGGAATTGAATTATTCAAATAAAAATATATAATTTATTGTAGCACGCTGCTGCATGCACCATGTGTGGAAGAAGGAAGAGCCTTCAAGAGGAAGATATTTAGATCATTCATGGAGTGTTCTGAAAACATCAAACAAGGAGGTAAGTTTTAAAACAAAATTATAAAGAGGTACAGTGTATAGCATCTTTTCCCAATAATTTGCCTACTAAATCATGTTTTAATGGAAAGTACCTGTTACTATAAATAGATTTCTTCACACAGTTAAGGAAATGGAGTTATTGAAATAAATTTTACATTTATATCATTTAAAATACTTATCCCTAAAATATTACCTCGACATTTACAATTTCACACTACTATCAATTTTACAAAATATCAATTTTTTACTTGCCTGTGAAAATGCAAATGAGCTACATATTTGTAATGATTCAGATTGAATTTCAGATTATTGAAGATATCCTTCCTTGTTAAAATTAGCAAGACTCGGAGTTCCTGTGAACGTGTTGAAACTAGCATGAAATGCCTTTCTCAGGTTAGTAAAGTAGAGTACATATATTTTTTAGCTCACCTTAGCCAAACCTGAGCCAAAGGCTCAAATAAGATCAAGGGGAGATATAATACAAGAATTCGTAAAAATTTGGAGGGATCCTAAGACCTAATGGGCCTGAAAAAAAACCCAGCACATAAAGGACTTCTTTCTTGTCCACCACTTTCACATAATCTCATTTGTTTGTCAGTCTGTCACAGAAACAAAACTTTTGATTGAGTGAAGATACAGCTTTTATATTTCACAGATACATTCACTATGAAAGGTCTCTCTAATGTCCATGAACTATAATTTTGACCCCATGGCCTTGACTTCTATGTCTTTCAAGAAATTAAACATTGGTAATAACATTTGAAGGATAGAAGAAAGATACAGCATAAAGTTGTCTAAAATTTGGACCCACTTTTCATAACTTTTATCAAAACACAATTACTGTTTAGTGAGAGAATGTTAGGAGTGATCTGCCCTTAGATTTAAATTTCAATAAATAGAAATTTACAGTATATTACTCAATTTATAATCAAGTCAAGTATTCTTGACATTTTAAAAGAACAAGATAAATTAATTGAAGATGTTATTTACATGTATCTTCTCCTTGGAAGTAAATAGCTATGATTTCTGTTCACTGTTACTGTATTGTGTTTGAACATTTTTCCTCGGGGTAAATGCCATGTACCATATATTGAAAATTAAATAGATAAACTTATTATTTACACCTTTATTCAATATAATTTTCTCAAAATCCAAAAAAAAAACAAAAACATTTTGCACTTGTGTAGAGAGGATGTATGTATGCTCTGTTATTGTACATGTAATAGTTTTCATGTTCCATTTGGTTCCATTAGTCATTGTTTAATATAAACTAAAGTCTTGTATTATCTAAATCTAAATACTTATATTGTTTATTACAGAACCAAAGCCAGAGTTTTACATTTAGTCATGACATTCAGCAAATGAATGGGTATCTCAAGAAAATTGGAGAGAGTTTTCAGAAGATGAGGGATACCAGTGGGACTCCTACACTAAGTCAGCTAAATCATACTACATGTACAACAATATAACGACCAAAATGACTGCTGTTATTTTCCCAAAGAACATCAAAGAAATAGTGAAGAGTCTTATAGTATGTGAAGAAAATTCAAGTCTTGCCCAGTATTATACCTGAGGGAAGTTTTGACCACTTATCCTAAAGTGATCCATGGCCATGCATATCAAACTTCAGAAACATGACTCCACTCTGCACTACTTCCAATATGCTTCAAATCATTTTTTAAAAGCTTATAATAATGTACATTCTTAAATAAAATATGCATGTAATAAGTGTATAAAACTAATAAAAGTAATCTCATTGAATGTACAATTTCATCCTTTGTCACACATTATCAGTTGCAATTGTTGAATTTTATATAATTGACAGAAAAATTAAAGAAATCTATGTCAAAACTGACTATTATTATAGAGCTACAGCTTTAGGTCTATGATAAGAGTGAAAAACCACAAATTAAGTATTGTACACCTATGATTATTGTGTAATAATTCATCTTCATTTAAGTATGCCAGTGATCTACTTTTCCTGCTAGTGGCTCCTGAGTATTTCACAGAAAATATCTCAATTAATCACACTATGACCAATATTTGCACCCCCCCCCCCCCCCCCCCCGCCCCATTAATTTTGCCGATATATAGAATACTCTAAAAACATAGCTACTGTATGCTTTTGTCCCTCAGTAAATGACCATTTGACCTTTTTTTTTGCTTTGAAGAATTTTTGGGTAATTTTCACTGAGAATGTATGGCTGTGCCCCCCCTCCCAACCACTGAAATTGCTTCCTACAGGCCTGTAATCAATTTGAAAACATGGATGATAAGAACTCTAATTATTTATAGCCTCATTTTACTTTTCTTGTCCACATTCTACTGGTATTAAAATTATATGAGCTCAATAATCAAATTATTGAGACATGTTGACTGTGAATGGTTTGTGTTCATGTATATTTTTGAAATTCTTCATTGCATGTCATTCAATTACTAACATTTGAAAAAAAAAACGAGATCTTTAATATACATAATAATTGCAAAATGGTGTTTTAAAACACATAGAAAATTTACTTTATGAATGACATATTCCAAGAAATAAAAGTATTGATACAAAAAAGTAAAAAAAAAAAAAAAAATTAGCTCGAATTTCCTCTGCTCATCAGATCTTTCATATTTTCTTCAAAAAATAAATATCATCTAATTTTAAAATTGATTTTGAGTTATCACTTGGTTATTTTGTCCATTTTGACCATTTTTGATTAAACATTTTGTACTTCAGAGCATTCCGTGTCTGTAATCTGAAATCCTGACTAAATGTCATCCTTCAATATCCTGAAAATATGAATAAGCATACTATTCTTCACTTTACTTTGAATCTTGACCTTAGCTTTACGTTTTGATAGAATCAATAAGTTAACTGTTCATCGACTCTTTTTGTTTTTAAGCTAAATTTGTAACAAATACGTTTGTTGATACCTGAAGAAGATAGAATTTGAGTCATTGAACATGGTATTAACGCCCCCCCCCCCCCCCCCCCCCCCCGTCTTTTTCTCATAAAAAGGGGGGGGGTCAAATTGAAATATCTGTGTTTCACTTTTATATCTTCACTACCTACATTTCATTTTAAAAATGGATAAGTAGCATGATTGATATACACTTCAGTGTTGTTAAAATTCAGCCACAAATGTGATTTTGTACCGATAAAAAACGTGAAATGAAAAATATATTCCAAGGAATGGTTGCCATGGTAACCCCTTCTATGTTGCTATCCTCTCCTAAAATGATACATTTTTATTCATTTCTATCATTAAATTCTATCTGAAGATTGTTTTACATAAAAATGTCCTCAAAAGAGAAAAACAAACTCTACAAAATATACCATCTTCAATGTATAACAGAGATTTCCCAATCTGTATTTGAGGAAATTCGGGATTAGGGTACATTTTCATTTTGATATTTCTTGAGTTAACTAAAATACACATGTTGGAAATCTAAATGAAATGACAAACCATAGTATAGATATTCTGAATAAACAAGAAGTTTTAAAAACCTATCTTGGAATTTAAAGATAAATATAATTGAAATAGAGGGTAAAATGGGTTTTTCTGCATTTTGAAAAAAGGACGAAATTTGATATTTTTAGCCTCCTATCAGCTTGAAACAATTCAGACTAAAGATTTAAATCCTAATCATTTCAATTATATAAGAATTCTTAAAATAAATTATATAATTGAAAGTGTTCATATTTTTCGTGTTTAAAGAAAATATAGGGGTTAAAAATGATATATTTCACGAAATAGAACCTGTCAAAATGACCATATTTCCATAAGTTCCGGTTGCCATGGCAACGGACATCCCGAAACATAAACTAAGGTGGTTTTCTCAGTTAGACACCTGAGTACACTCTATAAACAAAAAATTACGTATTTCGGTGACATTCGTTTTAACGGCTCCCTTGGATTCTTTGGTTTTTACAGAGAATGACTCTTTAAAAGTACTCTTCAAGAAAACTTGAAAAGAAAACAAAAATGAGTGCATTTTGTTTTTTCTTCATGTCATTCTGACACACATCTAAAATGAAATGTCATCCTTATGTCTACTGTATACAACTGACTTTTTATTTATCAATGAAAACTCCCCATTGAATTAAAGACATCATTTCGACAATTGAGCATGTAAATCACCAAATTTTCCCAACACCTTATTTTCATGAGAAAGTCATATGGTATTTTAAATCAAGTCAAAATTTCTGGTTATTGTTGTATATAATCTTAAATAATAAAAATGTATGTGAGAATAAAAATTTTCACGAGCAGATAGTCTTGCATAATTTTGCCAAGTAATGTTCTCAGGAATGCTGATTTACAGTATCTGTCTATTTTCACCATGTAAGCATCTGATAATTAGGAGTCACAATGATTCTTATGTTCAGAATTGCCATGTGTGAGTATTGGGGGTACAACCTCTTTTTGGTTTATGTGAATTGGTGGCTAAATGACATTGTGTAGTCTGTACATGCAGTATGCTGAAACATTTAAGTTTATGTCAAAAGAATGTGTTAGATAACAAATAGTTCTTTATACAGTTGAACTTTGGTATTTCACTAATATTTCAAATACCATGGATATTTTGGAAATCCCAGTGTATCTTTTCTATGTATTTTAACATCGATATCTCGAATCCTTGGATATCTTGAAGTTTCTTCTTGGTCCTTTCGAGTTGAGATAACAAGGTTTGACTGTATTTCAATATGGCATATTATTGCAGAATTCTCCATCAGATCATTGAGAGCATTATGTGTAATGACCTCCTGACCCCTGTCAAACTGGTGATGAACTGTCGTCGAAGACTTCGTTTGAGAAAGACACGTCATCGCGGCATGTACAGAGACATTATGTTCCTGGCTTTTGTAGCCTGTGGGAAGGAAAACATTGATCATGGTAATTAAGTGCTATTTAGTACACCTTAGCTACTTTGAAAAAAAAAAAACAGGCAAACTTCTAATATTTTTATACGCCCGTCTTTAGACGGGACGTATTATGTTATGGCGTTCATGTCCGTCCGTCTTTCCGTCTGTCTGTCTGTTAGCTTTTCTCGTGTCCGGCTCATAACTTTAATACTATTAGGCCTAGGATTATCAAACTTTGTCAGCTGATACTTCTTGGGTAGAAGGTGTGTCGCGCACGAAAAGTAGGTCGTTCTGACCTTTAATTAAGATGCTATGGCCAAATATGGAAAAATCCCGTCCGGCTCATAACTAGAAAACTATTAAGACTTAGAATCATCAAACTTGGCCAGTTTATGCATCTTAGGTAGAAGGTGTGTCGCAACCTATTTCAAGGTCACTGTGACCTTTAATTTAAGTGAAATTTTAAAAAAAACCTGTCTTTTTACTGTTAAATTACACAATCCCAAAAAATGTAAAAGTGTTGCAGTATCCTTATTAAAAAAATGTTAAATCAAGAAAATACTTATTTTTTTCATTATATACTTTACAGCAATCTATAACAAATATAATGTTACAAGAGAAATTCCACCTCTCCCATAGGTGTAATTATCAAGCACTGGTCAAGGAGAATTTTGATAACAGAAAATTGCATGTCAAATTAGAGAGAAATTAATGAGTTTAGTGTGAGGAGCTAACTGGTAGAGCATCTCTGATCAAGCAGGTGTTATCTATATCTCTTGGGAATTGGGCAGAGGAATCAGCCATGTTGGATTACATAGTTTTTGTGGGCTAGCCTAACTTTTAAAATGAATTTGGTGAAAAGTAATTAAAACTAATTTGATATTGTATAATAAACTAATTTGATATCTTATATTAAACTAATTATTAAAACTAATTATACTCGGAAGGGGGGGGGGGATATTGGAATTAGCATGCCGGTTGTCCATATGAATTGCAGCTTAAAACCAGTCTGACATTGAGTCTAAAAAAAAAAAATCAAGTATTTCAAAAAAAAAGTTTTAATTATGGTAGATAGTCCCTACAAATCTAAGAGTCAAGCAGAAACCTTATTAAAAATGTTGCATCAAGATTACAATTTTTTTTTCTTTTTATAAATCTTTGTAACAAATTGAAAAAAAAATCTTTGTTTTCAAATTTAATTTCAGTATGACATAAATATGCATTTTAATTGCACTGCAAAGCAGATAGCGCAGATCCATTCATCCCTTGGGAGTAATGACTGGACATGCATCCAGTTAAAGATTAATTAATGAGTTCAGTGTAGGAAGGCTAGCTGTCTCAATCATTTCTGTTAGAGCATATCTGATGAAGCAGTTCTTATCTGTATCCTTTGGGAATTAAACAGAACTGCTGGTCAGTTTATAGCATATTTCATTTGATGGCCAGTCTTTTATTTTAAAATTAATTTGGTATAGATTAAGTTGTTAAGACTAAATTCATATTGTTTAATATGATATTTTTATTTAATTTTTTTAAAATATCAACTGACAAATTTCAGAGCATCATGTCTCACAAATATGAAAGATGTGTGTGTCACTGTGTGTGGGGGGGGGGGGGGGGGGGCTGCAGATGGGCATTTGTCAAGCTCTAACACAACCAGTTGAGGATCTATAATGTAATATTTGTTATAATTCATGCCTACACTACAGGAAATGTATAAACAAATATTATAAGGAATGGAAAAATCATGGAAATCCGTGTATCAAGGTTGACTTGATTTTCTTGCACTCTAAACTGTTTGTGATAATTGAACAATATTTGACGGGCGTATCATGCTGTGGCGGGGCACTTTATTATTTTATTGTAAAATCACTTATTTTCTATGGAATCTTAATTTTTGTCTTTTGGGAAAAAATTTGGTCCATGGGATTTGATTTCATAGCTAAAAAGCTTTAGAGTGACTGATGATACTGTTGTTTTCAACATAAATTTGTTGGTCTCTTCAATCCACAAAACGAACCCCCCCCCCTTTGAAAGTGAGTGAATTCACAGTATTTTATAAATGATTCCCTCCACTATATTGGCCGAAATTTCCTCTTTGGAGAAATGATATGATCAATTTGTACACTGTTGAGCATCTTCTGTTATGTTAATGCAGTCATTTAATTATGGTAGATTTCTAATTTTGGCAAGTACTTTTATCTCGAAATGGCTCTTTAATGTCAAATCTCGAGAACAATTATTCGCTAGTGGATGGTTGATCAATAGATTTTGCATTGATTTTAGCATAAAAAAATAAAAGCGAGTAATTTATTTTCGCAAGTGGTGTTTCTCACGAAATTACATAATTAATTCTTTACGTATATTTAGGAATCTACAGTAGCTAATCTAGTATAAAAGTATTAAACTCACCCTTCATGTTCCATGAGAGTACTTGTCCTTCTGGAGTAGCTAAATGACTATGGGTCTCACACAAGTCAATAAATGTATAATACTAGCCCTTTGATACTAGATTTTTTCTAGAAATCAATTTTTTTTCCTCATTTTCGAATATCTCAATGATGGAAATAATATCCTGATGCCTTATTGCTATGATAATGAGAACTTTTAAAGAAATGATCAATATCTGCATCACTTAATTGCTCCTTTCTTTATTACAGATGCTTTTGATCGAGAATATAGACAAGCATTCAACAAGCTCTCCCACATGGAAATAAAACGCACTCAAAGAGACGATCGGCCAAGGAAAACGAGGATCATCTGGTGTCGAAAAGTGTTTGGGGATCTAGAGGTGTAGATATTTTTAAGATGTTTTCCGTTTCATAGAGGGTGTTTGTGTGTATGGGGAACAGACATGTTCTAAAATATTGATGTAAATTTCTTCAGCACACATGGACTCTATTGAATTATTGGGGGTATGTGTTTTGTAATGCAGGATCTTTTAAAGATCATTGGTCATTGAATATGTAAATGTGTTCTCTTCATTAACAAATGAATTAGGACTGAAGATATATTAAAGGTAATGTACTTAAAATGTATTATAACAAAGTGTATGTATTGAATAATTACTGGCAAGGATATGCATTGTTTCTCATAGCTTATCTCTTTTTTAAAAAAGTTGATGTTTGCTCAATTTAGTGGTTAAATTTTATTTTGAACAATGAGTTATAGTAGTCCAAGTTTATTATAATTCACACCTCTACTGACAACAAGATAAGTTTGACACTACATACAATATAGAATGTTTTTAGTAGATATACGTCACAGTTGTTATGGTGTGTTATTATTTATTATTTCACCGATATAAATAATTGTGTAAATAATCTGAACCCCCATCCCCTGGTGCAAAAGATATGTTTAAAATTATGTTTTATGAAATGCATAAAGGAATCATGTATTTACATGTATCATAATACATGTATTTAGACATAGTAATTGTTTAATTCTGTTACTTAGTATAATTTATGCACATCTCTAATATATTCAAGTACAAAACATACTTAGAAAGAGTAAAATAAAAGTCATTTGCTACATATACATTTACATTAATTCATTGAATTATACAAAAGTCAGGTATTTTACTGAAATATCTTAAAGTTCCAAATGTTACATATAAATATTACATGTAAATAATTGCTGATAAATGTTTTTAGATGTAAGAAAAAATTCTCAATTCTTGAAAATATCACACAGACATGATTTAAGGAAAACGTGAACAAGGAGCCCAGAACTCGGACTTCTCATTTTTTTATGTCTACCAGAAGGTACACATCTATTGTGTGTGTTTAATATATATAATTCTACAGTCTTCTCAGAGCTAATGATGTTCAATGATGCTTTCCTTTTCATACATAAATATGTGTTATGCAGGTGTGATTTCATGTAAATAGAATTATTTGTGGGTGTGCGGTTTTAAACAGATTGGAAAAAGCATAATTTATTATGAGATTTTAGGGATAATGTAAAATTCTAGATGATCTTGTGCTAAATAGATGTCTTGTAGTGGGAGAAAGCTATATTAGAAATACAAAATGCTCATTAAATACTTGTATTTAATTACAATGTGTGCTTATGCTTTGTGTAATATTTTATGATCAGGCTCATACTATGTAAATACTAGTACATGAATGACATATAATTTGGTAGGTTGTACATGTATATTGTATATATTTTATGTATGAAATATTCACAGATGAATAAAATAAGATATTGGGTGATTAAAAAATATTGAGAGATTATTTGTGTCACAAATTAATAGATTATAATTGGTGATGGTAATTTGTAATCGGTTAACCGGTTACATGATCGAAATGATGGTAATCAGATAGAAAATCTGTAATCGGGTAGTCGTGAAAATTAAATATGTGTAAATTTCAACACAATTTCTTAAAAAAAATACAAATAAAAATATCCAAAATATTAGCATTTTCACCTATCTATTTAAGCATATTCGGAGATAATTACTTAAGGCTCTCTAGATTGACATTGTGGGGGTAAATGGTCAGTTTTAGAGATGTTCATTGTTCTTTAAACACCATGTCATTACCCCAACTTGTCCTTTGTTTCTTTAATGATTTTAATTAAATGATCGTTGAGTACTGTGAAATGATTGTAATTTGTAGATTGCCTCTTCTATCCTTTGCAGTTACTTATCAAATTATATTATTAAACAAACATTGTAAATTAAGTGACAGTTCCGACTGAGTTTTGATTATGATTACAATGCAGAATGAACTTGCGTTACATTTCTTCTGAATTTTTTAAACTGATACTTCAAGGGTTTCTTAATTTTTTTCCTATTAAAATTGAAGTAATGCATATATCAGGTAAATATAAACATAGTATTACTATGTGTAACATCTTTATAGTCTTGTTAATTTGAGCAGAGTTTACAATGATAAAATATGTTGAGAATTTTTGATACAATTAACCAATCAATTGGTCAGAACGTCCTGCGGTTAACCGATTGGCAATTCTGTATTCGATTGCCATCCCTTATTATAATTACCAGTAACAGTACAGTGAGAGCTCTTTAAGGTGGTTGGTTGTATTAACATTGACATTTGAAGTGTACAGTTCCAGTGACTTTTGTGTGTAGGATAGAGGTATCTTTTGATTGTGTGATGCAAATTGTTAGGAAAAAATTTACTTTGGGTTCGGATTACATTGCATTTTTCCTAATCCTTGAGATACAAATGAACGAGGATAGCATTCAATTGTTACGTCATAAGACACTTATGATGACGTCCAAATCTAGCTTCTTTATTTCTCTATATAGATGTTTAAATATTCACTATAGCAGAATGGAAATAATTCCCTTGTCGGAATCGTTGGAGAATATACCCCTCAGTCTCCAGATTTTGCCCTTTGGGCTTGGTTTTTATTTGCCAACAAAATCTCTCGACTATCGGGGTATATTATCCAGCAATTCCTACAACACAGGAATTATTTCTTAAGTAACTATAAGCCCTATGGTGAACTAAACTTGAAGGAATGATACATCTAGGGATGCAGACTTGTATTGGATGCTGGATCTGACCTATTGACCTATATTTTCCAGCTAAACTAGTTAAAGTAGAGCTGGTCCATTTCAAGTTAATGATATGGTGGACTAAACTTGAAGGAATGATGCATCTAGGGATGCAGACTTGTATTGGATGCTGGATCTGACCTATTGACCTATATTTTCCAGCTAAACTAGTTAAAGTAGAGCTGGTCCATTTCAAGTTGATGATATGGTGAATGCATTTGCATTGATGATTGCATTTTACTAGGGATGCACACTACCAGATATGCTTTGGAAGCTGGATCTGACCTACATTCACAGGGTGATTGAACAGTTGAAGATTTTAGAGCAGGTCCATTTTCAAATATCTATTAATCCTACCTGGACCATACCTGTATCCATGGATGCACAATTCCAGAACATCTGTTTGGTGTGAGACTTAAATTTGCCTTACTTAAATAACATTTGTTGAGGTGAGCTTGGTAATCTTGGATTACCTATGTTTTTAAATGTGATTATCTGTTGATATCAAATAGTGGAAAAGATTACAACTCTCTTGTCTTTTGATGTTAATTCACTTTGGAATAAAGACAAAGCCATTTTCATTTTTTTAAAGAAGATATACATTGTATATTTGTAACATTAACAGTTCAGAAAAAAAAACCCATATATGTATATATATATATATATATATATATATATATATATATATATATATATATATATATATATATATATATATATATATATATATGTGTGTGTGTGTGTGTGTTAAGAAGTGTGGGTATAGTTAAACATAAATAACTTAGAAATGATAGTTCTGCTAAAATGTATAAAGTTACACATTAAGCACATTAAGTAAATGATAAACTTGATATAACTGAACATATTCATGGAATGCAACATACAATCCATTGATCACAGAAAATTCGCAGTGAGTCCACTGTTACATATTAGTTTATAGATACATTCTGTGTTCCCTTTATTTGCATAATCTACAGACTGATACATGAACAGTCCTAATTTCACAAATTTAAATACTGGAAATTAACAAAAAAAATTTTTTGGTAGGAAAAAAAAATATCACTTGATGGCAAATAGATTTTAAATACTTATATCAAATGGTGGCTGTATCATTTAAAAAATCAAAATAGTAATTTTCCAAGAAATTATTTCTATCAAATTGTGGATGATAATTGCTGATCACAGCTTGGCTTTCAGCTCTGGCATCAGGAAATCTATGTTGGCTTTTTCGAGCTGAAATTAACAAATAAAAAATGTAGAAATGGAGCATGCCTATATTGGCATTACATATGATATGTCTGGTAAAAAGGAAACACAATTAAATAATAAAAAAGTAAACTATGTGTACCTTGGGCTACAAAAAAGTCTGCAAAATATTGTGATACCCTGATAGCATGTGCATCATGATCTATATGAGCTTTTGGAGTCCATATGAAATTATTCTTTTCTGGGTGCCACTGAACTGCATATACAGGGTATCTGTAACCTGGAAAATGTAAGAAAACAAATTAAAGATATTTTTAACCAGTAAACATCAGAGCACGTACATTCTCTGAATTATGTGTACATTTACACATATTATGGTATTACATGTACCTTCCATTGATGATATGAATTCTTTTCCATTTCTATCCATGTTTGTTGACAAGACTTTCAAAAAGCTTCTTAATTCTTTATTCTGGGAGAATGTCTAGGAATGCACAATGAAACAATGATAGGAATAATATTAATGGTGAACGAAATAATTTTATCACTTCATTATAGTGATATACAACACTTCCTATACACATATACTTCATATACATATACTATCACTTGGTCTTACCAACTATCGACTAAATATTTTTTTAACTTTTAGTCACTTGAAAAATATGCGCTTTTTAACACCGTATAAGTAGAAATTTTAGCAAAGATTTACTTTTGGCATTTTTAGCAAAGGTATTGAGATCACTAAAATTGAATATCGCTAACAATTCATTCTGCATTGGAGGTTACTGTTGTCTTCCTAGGCATCATTAAATCGCAAAAATTACTTCTCGCTAAAAATTAATACTGATCTTTTAGGCAAAACCGCTAAATCTGTGTCTTGCTAAAAATTCCACTTATACGGTAGTCATTAATAAATCTCGAGTTTTCTTCAGCTGGTCTATTGGTGTCATAGCTCAGACCCTCTTTTGATGTTGTAGATAATTTATAAATTATTTGAATTCAATCATACTTAACATACATGTAATTTGGGAGACAGATGTCCACATGCTTTGAAATTTCTTTTGATGTAAAATATGATTAATTTTTTTTCATGATTGGATTTTTTGGTTGCACAAAATTGCATAATTAAGATTTATCGCTTGTTTGTTTGTTTATAACTCTTAAACCATACAATGGTATATTAGGTACATGAACAGATTTACATCTATACAAAATACAAAGTCAAGTAAGGAAAAGTATCATAAACTAAAAGTATTACTGAAAACATGCCAATATCTTTTTAACTTTATCAGTGAGTCTACATCTGTGGTGGACATAAGATTCTCAAATTTATAAGAATTTACATTAGGAAAATATTTCTTGCCAATGTTTCATACGTAATGAGGAAAAAAAATGTACACTCCATTACATAATGGAATTTGTAACCTAGAGTGTTTTTATTACATAAATTACATATTCTTAAAGATCTGTCAGTATTAGTCTATCTATCAGGTTCGATGGGAAGTCTGTGGTTACAAATTCTAAATTTTGTTGATATAATCCCTAAATCTTTTGGGAGTTTACTTAGGTACATTTCTCAACCAAAAGTGTTCTTAAAAATCCTATAATTTAAACATTTAGATGAATTTTCTATGCTCATAAACCCGAGTCTTGTGAAAATTGACTTCACAATGTTTCTTTCACATCAATTTCTTAAGTATTACATGGTTAAAATCTATAGATTTTAACCATGTAATACTTAAGAAATTTTTATTCATCCATACATAAAAGTACAGAACATGAATTCGAAATATCTCTTATACATTTCAACCATAGGTGCATAAATAAACCTTCAGAAAAACATTTATATAGAAAGCAGTACATTATGTATGTTAACTTATGCTCATGAGACTTCAACTGTGTATCAGTCACTGGTAAACAATTTACCTGTAATTAGACACATATTAATGGCCTTATGGTTTAGATGATTTACATACATGTATTGGCATCTGGAGAAGAAATGACGACTGTGAAAATGACAAGTGAAAGTATTTGAGAAAGTGTATTTAGATAAAAATTTAGTCTTAATTCAGATACATGTTGTAACAGGTTTTTTCTACAATGTATTAAATATTTGTATTTAGAAATACATTGTACCTGATGGTACTCCAGCATGCTAGAGGTTAACGGCGAGATACTTTTGACTTCTTGCCGCGTTATTTAAGGAGCGTAGGGACGTTAACCGAGGCTCTTACTTGTAGGAGTATACCTGATGGCAGCTTGGTTTAATACTTATTGATATGTAATTTTGAATACTACCTTAAAGATAGTAGAGCAGCTGGGCTAATTTTTAGTTGATTCTCCCTAAACACAGTCTGCATGTCAATTATATTTTATAGTAAATACGTAAAACATTGCAGTGTTTAACCAAATCTTCAATATTTGGTAGTCATACCCAGTAAATGATTTTTGTGGATTACTGCAACCATAGAAATTAAAAACGAAGAAATTAATTTGCTACCTTTAAGGGGTCAAATCACAAAAATTTCCACCCGCAGAAAATACCCATCATATGGTATACTGTAAGTGTACAAAAATTAGCGCACTCAAAAATAGTGGAATCCTCCTCTTTAACTGATTAGGCAATCATAAATTAATGGCACATTTGAGTCTTGAAATTAAATGACAAGTGCTTGTTTAAATCGTTTAAGTATGTACATAAATCAAGGAACATATGATTACCACTGAAGTAAGTACATTTACAGTATATTGAATGAATTTTGCTCTACTTACTGATGGAGTGAGGCCCCAGTGATGGTAGTTAGCAGTGACATTTTCCGTTTTCAAGGGTTGGTACACATCCTCTGGTAAATTGCCAAACAAGACACTCTTTGCAGCCTCTACAATTAAAGAAACATGATAATTAGATTTATCAAGCTATCACTATAGCTGGTTAAATCAGAAATCACTGAGACCCTTTGTCATGTAGGATGTATATCTAACCTGTGGTAAAATTCAGTGGTAAAGGAAGATCTTCTGCATCCACGGCTGTTAACAAATTCTGCTTAGAAACTAAAGCAGATATTAACTGGAAACCCTGACAAGTGCCCCACAAAGGAAAACTGTCCCCATCTTTATCTTTTGCCTGAAATATATGTATAAATGACAAATACTGTACAATATTGCAAAGTTTTCATATTGTCAGAGAGTCTGTAATTACAGGGCGTAAGGATATGTAATACATGTATGTCTCTCTCGATAGGACGAGACATTAGTTTTAGTAGGATGTCTGTAATATAATCGTGTCTGCTGTATAATCTTTGAACTTTTGAAATTCAAACTTTAGTATATTGATGCTCAAGTCCTAAAGGTGTAACAAGATCTTGACTCAAGGTCATATCTACATTATCAAAGACACATGTAATGAGATATTAATATTGTGTCTTGATCATACATGTAATTTTGACTGGAATTAAGTCAAAGTACGTAATTCTATGATTGAATAATTCCTAGCCCTCCGATTGGCTGACATTCATATCATACTAAGTTATGTTCATCTGCATGAGACATTCCAGGTGAACATGCATTTATTTTTTCTCATTGGACTAAACTGCTAAATTATAATTCAATTGGATATTAATACAACTGGTTTATTTTTATTTTAATCCCACTTCTCTTACTGCGTTTGACAGGAACCTCAACAAATGTAAACAATAAATAAAACAAGATGTGTTTGTGAAACACTGATGCCCCCGTATGGCAGCTTATGGCGAAGGTTAAAGTTTCTCAAATGCAAGTCAAAATCCAGGCCAAAAGAAAAAAAATGTTGATACCCAAAGAAAGATCTTGTCTCGAGGAATACAAATGTGAAATTTGAAAGACCTAGATACAACTGTGCAAAAGTTATGGCGAAGGTTAAAGTTTTTTAAATAAAAGTCAAACGTCAAGGTCAAGGTCAAAGTGGTTGGTATCCAAAGGAAGATCTTGTCACAAGGATTACATATGTGAAGTATGAAAGCCCTAGCACCAACCATTCAAAAGTTATGGCCAAGGTTAAAGTTTTTCAAAAGTAGGTCAAAGTCCAAGGTCAAGGTCAAAAGGTCAAAGTTGTTGGTATCCAAAGGAAGGCCTTGTCACAAAGAATACACATGTGAAGTTTAAAACCCCAAGCACCAACTGTTCAGAAGTTATGGCCAAGGTTAAAGTCTCATAAAATTTTTCAAAAGTGGGTCAAACTCCAAGGTCAAGGTCAAAAGGTCAAATATGATGGTACCAAAAGAAAGGTCTTGTCACAAAGAATACACATGTGAAATATGAAAGTCATAGCTCCAACCAATCAAAAGTTATGGGCAAGGTTAAAGTTGACAACAGACAGACAAACAAACAGACAAAAGGACAAACAGACAAACAGATAAACAGACAGACAGGACAAAAACAATATACCCCCGGGATCTTTGGATCCGGGGGCATAAAAAGCAAGGTGTGCTTAACAATTTTGTACCATTGAATCATGTAATAAATCAATTAATGCTGTTTTTTTTTCAGTCAATAGGGTGATTTAGCAATCCTCAAAGTACAATATTTATCTCACCCTTCAGGCTCAGTGAATATTAATGTACTCCTCTGGTGGCTAAATCATCATATTGACCACAAAAACTATACTGTTGCTGATTATAAATATGTGCTGTATATTATATGTACATTCCTTCCTTTTTATTCAATTTTAACAAAACATAAATGATTTATTGCAGTAAACATACAGTAATGGCCAGGTTGTAGATGATCATAGCTGTCTTTGCAAACTGTGATTTAAGAATGTCCACCCCACCTCCAGGAAATAAAATCCTTCAATGTAAAAAAAGAATACACCATACAGAAAACTCCCTGGTAGTGTTCTTATTTGAAATAAATTTGTTTATATTCAAACTTTCACAGTAAGCTAAAAGGTAAATAGAATATCGTGCAGAAGTATATGTGTTTCAATATACCAGCCAAATTGAAAAACCATAATAATAAGATGACGAAAAGCAATATTCCCTTATACATGTCACATACATTCCTTTTTGAACATGATTATGAGATGCAGTTCACTTTTTGCTCATATTCAAATAAAAAAAAAAAATGTGTATCCTACCCATTTAAAGAACTGAACAGTTTCTTGTAGTAACAAATGGCTTTTACATTGTTTTCCCTAGAAAGAATTAAAACAACCATATTTATTAAGTGACAAAAACAAATACACTATAGTGACCTAATGGATGGTATATGTCAAATACACCTAATTTTTTTTTAATTGACTGCCAACAAAGAAACAAAAAAATTCACCAATGTCAAAAGATCACTTGCATGTACATATACATGTATTATTTTTATCATTAAAGAAATTGGAAACTTTTTAATCTAACACTTTCTAACTACAGCATTCCACCTGAATAAACGGACTGGGACGACTCGGGCTCCTGCAGACTCCAGCCATTTAATGTAAGGAGAAGGGATGTACGTAGCAGCAGGTGCCCCTTTAGAGGATTCCTGAGCCAAAACACCTGAAATCAAATATAGAACATTTTAGATACCGACACAACACACAATGCTAAATCAATGTTTATTTAATTTCATTCAAAATAAATCACCCTTACATCTGAAATTATCAAGTTTAGATTATAGCTGAATTATTGTTGTGCGTAAATTTAAACTAAGCTTTCAGAGAAAAACAACCATTTAAAAGTGTGTAGTGCTCTTCAGCTCATCATCTCCAGTGTACGAGGGTCATTCAAAAAATTTGTAGACTTTTGTCATAACTTTTTTATTTAACGTCCTATTATAACCAAATTTGGTACACTTATTTTAACAATAGATTCAAATAATTTGAGTCAAAAAATTGGAATATATCTTGATATATATCTAAACTATCAAAGATTTAAGACAGCAAAAATGGGATCACGGAGTAGGGTCAAAATTGAGTTATTTATAATTATACACTTTATATGTCTATAGTCATATCTCTAATAAATGGTGCTTAAACGAAATAAAATTTAAATGTTCAAATTTTGTATTGTTCTATTACTTCAAATGCTAAAATGTAATGTAATACATCGCTTCGTTTAAAAGATATCAATTTTTAAAGACAGATAGACTTCATTAAAAAAAGCAAAAAACGATGACGTCAAAGGATGTCACGGAGCGGCGAGTAGCGATAAAATTTCATTTTGCATACAGGAAACCTCTAAACAAACTGAAAATGATGGAGGAACCAGGAAATATATCAAAAATGAGCCGTGCATTTGTATATACATGGATAAGACAGTTTTTGAGTGGTAGAGACTTTGAATCGGATGATGGACGGTCTGCGAAGAAACAGATTATAGTTAAAATCCTATTAAAAGAGTAAGTAACATCATGAAACGTTATGTGCACTTCACTGTTGCGGAACTTGTGAAAGCTGAGTTACGCAGTAAAAATTTTGAAAATACTGACAATCTAACTTTAGCTATTCGAACAATTGTAAGTAAACTAGGTGTCAAAGTATTAAGGATATGTTTTTATGAATGGGTAAGACACTACAAAGCGTGTGAAAAGAAAAGCAGAGTAATTTTGAGAAACTTTCTTGATGTTGCTTTTGATGTTACAATGTTGTTAAGCGTGCTCCATGGTGACAAAACATGTTGCTTTTAAAACTGAGTAACAGGAGTTCCATTTAATCAAATGGAATGAAACTTCACACATCGACAAAATAAATGTTTTACATATGAAAATGTGTTGATCTTAAATCTCGTAAAAAAAATAATATGATGAGGGACAACGTCTACGTATTTTTTGAATGACCCTCGTATTACTGGTTTTTGATTGTTTTTAATGATCCCTTTCTTTGTATAGGAAACAAGACACTTTAATAGTCAACAGAATAACAATTTACTTACCTACAATAGGTCTGTTATTGATTGGGTGACCATATAATGACACACTTAACTGTACAAGTATAGACAACACGATTGTAAACATCCTCCTCCAGAATTATCAGACCCCTTTTATAAGATATCCAACAAGCACTAAAGAAAAACAAATGTTTATAATGGAAATTATCATGTTTTAAAATCTTTAGTACATCAATATTTACATTTTTAATTGTCTTTGTCTGAGATAAAACTACAAATAAGATGTGACAGCATTGAGAACAGCTTTCTTGCTGTGTGAAGCATAGTAATATACTGACGCTTGTAATCTTAGGTTTTTAATTATTGCATAAAAATAATGTCTTTGAATCAAGAAAAGTAAAATAATTTTTTTTTGTTTTATGCTGGTGATCACTGATCAGTTTAATTATATAATTGCTCATTGTGATTTTACTCTGCGTTTATGCAAACTATCACATGAGCAAACTGTGTGAGCACATCATCAAACCAAATTCTGAACAATTATTCCTGAATTATTCATGTCACTAGTAACATTCTATATTTTAATGCATGGCACAAAGAAAGAAATATAAATGAAAGGCCCCTTAAATGTATCTTTACTTTTAACTAATGCAATATATTTACCTTTATTTGCAGATTATCCTTCAATATTACAATGAAAATAATGATACCAAGTACTTCCTCATTCACTTATTCAACAGAATCACATATTTTAAAAACATTGTTTATAACTTCCTTTCTGTATTGTTCAGAGCGAGATCGAACCATTGTACAATCACCCCTACAAAACTTCCCCCTATGTACACTAATACAAGCTATCCCTAAAACAAATTCACCAATTATTTGTGTTTTTCCCTGTAACAGATTATACATTGAACATTTAATGATCTTTAACAGACTCACTCTATATTAATTTACAGTTGCAACAGGCTCCCCCAAATTTCCAGCTGATTTCTATTGCTCTGTCTCCTTTGGCCTTGATTCGATGGTTCGTAAAAGTAAACAGGCAAAGGGGAGAAGTAAACATGAACTGAAGAATGAACTCTGAAACCTACATGTTAGATTTCACTGTCATGTCATTATTTAGAACATAAATGGACAAAATTCACTTATTATCTTATAGTTAACAATCAAAACATTAAAGTGAAAGTAGGGAAGAAAAATTTGTCTTTCTATTAACTCTCTCTATAAATGTTTCGACTACAAGCCCAACAGTGATCTATAAAACATATAGACTGGAAAACATAAAGACATGTTAATATATTTGTAAAAATAAATAAATAAATAAAAATAAAGCAAAAACAAACTTAAAAAAAAAAATTAAAAAATACAATACTTGGTTGATTTAATGAAAAAAAGTGAAGATGACGAACAGTAATCGATCTCTAAAAAGTCTAACAAACAATACAAATCTGTGAACAGGTATAAAACACGGACCCCCGTAAAATCCTGAAGTGAGATTAGGTGCCTAGAAGGAAGCATCCCCTATATTTACCGGTATTTACCGTGAGCCCTATAATGTATTGATCGGGTAGATGGAACAATCCGTAGTCAAATTTTAGTGTAAAAACAAAGGCCTAACAATTGTTTTGAAACACGTCAGCCAAAATACGACTAAATGAGAAATTTTTTTGCTAACAAAGTCATTATAACGACCACAGAATTTAAGAAATGCTGTCTTTAAATGAGGTTGTTGAAATCCCTGTAACATTAACTTATATATCAGTTGCCTGCCTCGCTTTAAAAATTGCAGGCACTCAGAGCATGCTCTTGAGTATCGAAAAAGTTGGGAGAAACCATTCCAATTAAGAAGATTCACAAAACAAACTGGATTTTCTCAGATGGTAAAACAAAAACAAAAAATTAAAAATTAAAAAAACATATTACCATCATGCGAAAGTGGAGAAGAAGCTTGCTAAATGTCAGGACAAGGCGGGGAACAGAAGTACCCTCAAATCACCAATGATTACAGCTACGCTGAAGATGAAACTTAAAATATTCAATGACAAATCGAACACACGGTTTCTGTCCCGTTTTAGAAATTGTTTGTACGAAAACATGCTTTTCCGTATCGAATCAACTGGCGACATAAACCCTATATGCAGGTGAAAATGGTATATTGCTACATAAATAATGGAAGTTGATGATAAAAGAGTTGGAGTCATCACGTTTATCATAAATTTTTAAGTTTAGTTGTTAGTTTACCATCAATGTCTTTCTCCAGTAAAACATCCAAATATGAAATGTGTCAGACTCTGTGATGTCTTTTATTTCCAGCTTAATGGGAGTCAATGTTTGAATGAAAATGAATATTGTTAATTGACAAAACATCATCAGTATATCTAAATGTTGAATTGAAGGCCACAGCAAGAGACTTCTTTTTGTACACTGCATCGAAAACTTGGAAACAAGTGTCGGATTTTTTTTAAAGTATAACAATGTAAATTGTGAAGATATCGAATATTGACCAATCTCATAAATCCAGTAAACAAAATCCAGTAAACAGTATACATGCATTGACAATGTGCAATTATGACGACATAGCTCTATCAACAAAATTATTTTGACAAATATGATGCAATATAGTCGTCGAACTAAACACCTCCATCACAAAAAGAGCGCACTTTTTGTTCGGAAAGAATTTCTATGCGTTGCCAAGGAGATTTAACTTAGATGTTCTAATTTTCTAAGAATAATTTATTGAATGATGGAATACCAAATGTTTTTTTCTTAGTTAAGAATATTTTAAGTACTTAAGTGCAAGTTTTATGAAAAAAACTTGCACATGTTTTCTGAATCTAAGCCCAGGTTAATCAGCATTTATATTACTCTTGGGCAAATGCTTTGCCAAAGTTTTCTCAATAGGTACAGCAAGGTTAATTTTGTCCGTTTTTCTCCATCTAGGATTAAGCGTAAAGTGCTAGTAAAATAACATTTTCTGTACAATATGCAAATGTCAATACAAAAAAGTAATCTCTCAATCTCTCTCTCTCTCTCTCGTGAATATGCAAATAAGTTGATGACACAAGGATGTTAACAATCTCGTTTAAAGTCAACATTTCGCAAATTCCATGGTCGAATACAATGAACTTGTTTGCAAAAACAATCTATCGTTAAGTCGAATGTTGACTGGCATCTTTCATACAAGTTATTAAGCCAATTTTTCCGTTTTCCTGATCATGACAAAGAGCACAGTTTGAGCGGTTTAACCATCGACAGGGGATGCTCACTCCTCCATGGCATGACACCTTATCCCACTTCTGTTTTCACTTTTCAGAGGTCCATCTTTGCTCTGCTTATATTTTGTATTGTTCAAATTGGATTCTGAGCCTGATTACTGTTCGTTTTTTTCACATGTCATTGATGATACTTTAATTGATCTGCAGATAGTTGACAAGTTTTTCGCCGTTTCTAAATAAACAGAGTGCTGTTTTCCAGACTCAATCTGTTTTATAAACAGGAACATGAACTGATTGGAACAAAAGTACGCCATTGCGCTCTTTCTGAAATTGTCAGCGCTCTGATTATTTTTCAATTACATAGTGTTTGGTGCAATGAATTGGCTGCATGACAGAGTTCGTTTTGAGTCTGCTGAAATAGCATCTTTTTAACCCTGAAACAAGCAAAATGACATTTTACATATGCATGTACGTTACCCTAATCATTCAAAGTGGTCACAGAATCTTTATCCTATGGTCGTAAATTTTTGTTACCCTTATCTTGTTCAAATTTTCTACCCGCAATTTGGCTTTAATCAGCGCAGATCATGCAAAATTTTTGCAATAGTTACGTACTTCTGTTTAAAATATTTCAATTTTATAATCTAAACCTATATAATGCGTAAACTAAGTGCAAAGTAATCGAAGCGTATTTGCCTGACGCCATCATGGACTAGGGTAACTCACTTTACCCTAGTCCGTTTCTACACAGTGAATAAGACTAAACAAAGTTAATATTCATATTTATCGATATAAAACATTGCTTAATGATTCCTAGTATGAAAAACTCCAGAGGAAAATTCAAAAACTAGTATTCTTGTGGCCTAACTTAATGAACAGTGCCAGGTAAAGTCATCCAGGCAGAACGTGACTTTACCTGTAGCTGTCCAGTAAGTGTTCGACATTGGTGAAATGTTTTAAGTATTTTAAAAGCTAACACGCCTCGAACCGTCTAATATTTGACATAATGGACAGTTTTCGGCTTATAATCGTTACTAAAAACATTTTTGTGACGTCATCATTAGTAAAACCTGGTCTAGTAAATTTCTTATTATCCAGCACTCCGTCCAATAAGTTACATGTAGGTGTCTAATAAGATTCAACTTATTGGACAGATACAGGTAACATTGAAATGAAAAGAAAGGGCGATGCTGATAAATAAACAGCACTGAAAAAGCAAACAATTTAATATGAGCAATGCAGGAAATTAGCAGCATAAATAAATATTCACAATTAAAAAAATAATTCTATTGAATCCACGGTAAACTGAATGTTGGTAGAAGAATCCGTAGCACCGATCTTAAATTTCATTAATTCGCCGTTCATTATTTTTCATTTCACATTATTGATACATGGAATATTCACAGAATCTCGAGGACACAAAAGACGAATCAGGTGCATGTCTTCACTTACGCACATCCTTGTGCTTTTTTGCTCAGTTGAACATCCTTTTTTTTAACTATTCCCCTCACCAAATTTCACCAATGTCGAACACTCCCATTGTTAACTTATTGGACAGTTACAGATAAACTGGGCTTGGATGACTTTATCTGACACTGTCCATTAAGTTAGACCAAAGAAACTAGTTTTGAATTTAACTCTACAGTTTTTCAGAAGTAGGAATATATCGATAAACTTTGTTTAATCTTATTTATCCGCATTGCGACAGTTTAGTTCTATTCAATTCTTAAAATTGATTCATTTTACAATGCAACACCATGGATGACGACATACATTTTAAAACAGGGACTACATCTTAACAATGTCTTTAATGAAGAACACCATAATGCAAACTTGTGCTTCAAGTTTTCTTCTTTGAAATCTGAGGATTTGCTTATATTTCGGAGTTTGCAAGAAACAGTTTCTCGATTATAAATATTTAGGTCATATAATAAATAGCAATATGTATATTTTCCAGCGCAATAACACAGACAAGTACTATAGTCTGTCCCACGAACAGGACTTCACCACTTTTGGCAAAATATCTCAAAATGTATAAATACCTTGGCTTTCAACCTAGGTTTGATCGGTAGATTGTTCCCCCCCCCCCCCCAAACTTCCTGCATTTATAGGAACCCTTGAGGTCAACCAGTGCATTCACACGGCGGCAAATTCAAATTCAACGAGGATTTAACATGGTTAAGCCGTCCATTAGCGTCTAGATTTCGGGGCGGGGAACCAGTTTATGAAGGGATGTTGCAACCACTATTGAAATAACGACCATTATTGAAATAATTATTTCAATAGTGGTTGAGAGTGCATTTCAAAATCAAACACAGGTTGTAACCACTATTGAAACAATGTTCACTATTGAAATAATTATTTCAATAGTGGTTGCACTATTGAAATAATTATTTCAATAGTGGTCGTTATTTCAGTAGTGGTTGCAACAAAGGGAGTAGTTGTTCTTTCCTAAGTAAAATTCCGAAAAATCTGAGGAAATCAAAGGAAGTTATTTAAAGTGTTTTTAATAATAATGTAAGTTTTTTTTTAAATTAAAATAATTTTAGCACTGTATAAAAAGTTTTGTCACAAACGCCGAGAAAATAGTCCGAATCTAATGCAGTACAAGTTGTGGATACAGGTGTTGACCATAGGCGCTTGGTTTCTAGAGGGTGTATTTTGTGTTTTTCTAGGTGTGTCTGAATACACTCATTAAAATAAAATTACAAAATCGCTGAAATTAGCACGTTTAAAAAATATCATGTTACTGTATATAAAAAGAGTGAAGGTATGACAGTTGCCATCTTGGATTTCAGGGGACACCTCAGTTCACAATTGATTTTAATCAATATCTACACTTTACATTGTTGAATGAGATGCGAGCGGGCCTGAGAACCAAGTTATTAATTTTTTTAGGCCTTAAATATTTACAAAAACATA